GCTAGCGTCAACATGCACAGCGCAACTTCAGCACAGTCAGGGCTAGCGCCTTTACACAGTGCGCGTCAGCATTACCCAAAAGACAGAGCGCGAGCAATACACGACCTTACCGTCCGCTGTCCACAGCACAACTCCTCCGCACGATCACGTGAATAGCCCTCGCGTGAACATGCATACGCTGTACAAACACATATGCCTGTGCTAAACCTATGGGCCTTTGGCAACCAATAGCGTACGTGCATTCAGTCACTGAGCACTTACGCGCCGCCCAGTCACTAACACACTGTGAATTAACCTTATTGCAACAGGAATGACGTAGGAAATAAACTAGCTATAAGTCCCTACATTTTCCGTTATATTGGCGCCGAGCATGGTGGGGTATGGCCTCATACTCCACAACCATAACACAAAAAAAATAAACAAAAAAAATAAAAAAAGGAAAGTGTACCTAAACCTTAACTTCCCCTTTATAATTCAATATAAAACGTAAGGTTTAACCTTTCCTGTAAAATTCAATACAAAACATAAGACTTTTTCTTTATTACTTTATCCTCTGGGCGGTGACAATTCTTGCTGCCCCGACTGATTGGCTTGACTTTCAGACCCTGACTCGTCTGCAATGGCATCTTGCGTTACAGGAGCATTATCTTCGACCTCTCTTCAGATGAGTTTTTGTCAACTGGAACTGTTGTCAGTTCTTGGGGGAGGTTTTTAGTCACCTCATACCTGGACTGACCTTCCCAATTGTTTAGACTGACACATGGTTTGAGTCTGTCCACATGGACAACTTTGGGCTTGACTCCTTGTTTAGACTGGATTCAAACGGTTACATCCGATAGCTTTTTCAGAATCAGCCATGGCCCTTCCCACCTCAACTGGAGTTTGGGGGACATGTGCCTCTTCTTTGCTGGGTTGTGCAGCCACACTAGTTTGCCTTCCGTTAACCCATGCTCGGGTGCCTTTCTGTCATAGTTCTTCTTTTGCCTTCGGGCACTTTTCCTGAGGCACTCTCTGGCTCTTTAGTGATACCTCTTGCATGTTACTTCGCAGTCTTTCTGCAAAGTCTACGGTTGTGTCCCCAAATTTCGGGACACCCTGTCACCAAATCTACCGGGATGGTCACTTCCCAGCATCATCATGTTAGGGGTTTCACCAGTGGACTCATGTGGCGTGCACCTATAAGCGAACGTGGCATAGTGGAGGAACTCATCCCAATCCTTCTGCCTTCACTTGGGTCAATTAGCATCGCCACGATGTTGATCCAGGTTTTGTTAAACCTCTCGAACCATGCCATCCGATTTCGGATTATAGGCAGTTGTTCGAGTTTTTGATATGCCTAAAATTTGGCACACATCTCACAAAACACACCTGACTCAAAGTTGGTGCCCTGATTGGAGTTGAGTTCTTGGAAAATCCCAAACCGTCACACTATTTTGTTTACCAACTTATGCGCGACTGTGAAGTGCGAATGCTTCCATCCACTTAGTGCATGCAGTAGTCGCCAACCACCAACACCCATCGGTTACCATTGTCCGTTGTGGGCAATGGCCCGAGCAAGTCTATTGCTACTCGCACCATTGACACTCCAACTCGGTACTGCTGTAAAGGTGCCAGCCTTATCTTAGCAGCTGATTTCCTCCTGGCACAGACATTGCAGCCTCGGAGGAAGGACCGCACATCTGCAGACATGCCTGGCCAAAGTACCTAGCTTTCACTTTGGCCAGAGTTTTACTGACCCCTAAGTGACCACTAAGCTGCCCACCATGCAACTCAGTCATAATTCTCTTGCGGACCCTTGGTGGCAACACCAATAGCCACCAGATGGACTTTCCGTCGTGTCCCATCGTTTACGCAGAACTCCCTCACGGACCTCCAACTGGTCCCACTGCGACCAACAGGTCTTGCATGCTGCTGATATAGTGGGAAATTGTCTTCCACTCGGGTCGACTTTTACCCTCTTCCTTCGACCTTATCAGCCAACTCACAGTGTCATCCTGCAATTGTGCTTCTCTTCAAGCAACTTGTGACAGGATTGGTTGGGCAGCTACGCCCTTATATATAAACCAAGAACTCACTCCCCTGAGGTTTACCCTCGGGTACTTCACCAGTTGTCTAATATTCTTCATCACGGCGGCAGTGTTTGCATGGCCGTCTAGACATCCCATCAGCATTTCCATGCCTCTTTCCGCTTCTGTGCTCTACAACCAAGTTGTTTTGAGACAGGACTTCAATCCACCTTGCCAGCTGACCCTCTGAGTTCTTAAAATTAAGTACCCTTCGCAATGCAGCATGGTCAGTTCTGACGGCCACTTTTCGGCCACACAGGTATTGTTTGAAATACTTCAAATATACCACCACAGCCAACAACTCTTTGCGAGTGACACAGTAGTTTCGCTCAGGTTTGCGGAGCTTCTGGCTTGCATAAGCAAGCACCTTCTCGTCACCATCTTGGGCCTGGGATAGCACCGCCCAATACCGTCACCACAGGCATCGGTGTCCAAGATAAAGTCACCCTCAGGCACTGGGTATGACAGAACCGGAGCGGCCTGGAGCCTGCTCTTCAGCTCGTCAAATGCCTGTTGACAACTCTCAGTCCATACAAACTCCTTTGACTTCTCGGTCAGGGCATGGAGTGGGCTCGCAATTTTTGCAAATCCCTGTATGAACTTCTGGTAGTACGAGGCGAGACCCAAAAAGCTTCTCACATCTCGTACATACCTTGGAATTGGCCAGGTTGCTACTGCTTCAACCTTTTGGGGGTCTGTGGCCACGCCTTCTGACGACACATGCCCCAGGTAAGCAACAGACTCCCAAAAACAAATGGCACTTGCTGGGCTTTAACTTCAGCCCAGCGTGTCTTAGCCAATCAAACATCACTCGGAGACGTCCTAAGGTCTCCGGCACTGTTCTACTGAACACAATGATGTCATCCAAGTATATGAGTAGGATTTCCCACTGTAAGCTGGCAATGACCTTTTCCATGAGCCACATGTGCACATGTGTAGGGTTCACTTTTCCCTATCACGAATGAATGGCTTAGAACTTGGCTTACCCTGTTCAACGCCATCTTGCCCGAACAGGAACAGCGTCAAGTCGTCTATGACTTGACTCTCACGTTCCAAGGCAATTGGTGTCGACCCTGCTTGGGGTTTTATCCTTGAGCCTGAGTCTTTTAGAGGTGTGCTCATAAAGCTTACCTCCCTCCCACGTTTGTGGAGCCAGTCAGTCACCATCTTTGTGTCCGACTCTCATCTCCACATTGCTCCAGAGACATACCCAGTACTCTCTTTGGGCAACCTCAGCTCAACATCGGTATCTACCTGATGGAACATACGTCGGCTCCTACCTGACGTGATCGTGTTCCCTCCCTTTTGGTAACCACCCGACTGCATCTCCAAGGCAGCCTCCAACTTCTTTGCAATGAGATCTTTTTCGCACTGCAGAAATTGAGCTTCCATTCGCAGTCGTTGCAACTCGGCCTCAGCACTTGAGGTGCCTGCTTGACCCTGCAAGCCTTCGCTCATAATTGAACACAACCACAACAATCACACAGGAAAACAAACAACAAACAACCGATTAAACCACAGTACAGTTAGCAATTCAAGTCAAAACACAACGTGCAATCAAATAATTTAACAGCAAAATCACCTAATCAATCATAATCATCCCACTTCTGACACCATTTGTGGCGGGGATCTCTCCAGGCCAAACCTAAGTTCATTGGGACCAAGTCTGACACCTATTAGAGTGAAGCTGATCTTCCCGTACCCAAGCTTTCCCAAGAAGACAGACCACTCAGAGCGACCTCAAGGCTTAGGGAGCAGGTCCGTTTTGGAGGAAATATACCGCCGATTATGATGATTGTGATTACCCTCTGTTAATTGCACAATAAACCAACAACAAATACACCTGGACAACAGGAATGTCGGCATCACAAATATAATCGTAATTCATTATACAATAATCAAGAAATATGCAGTAGTAATTGAGTCTTAATGAGGTTGTTAATTATCAGAGTCACTTAATTACACTTGGGAGTCAGCTAACAGTCAAAAAGTCAAACAATGTACAGCTATGTAAACAATGTACAACAATGTCAGTATTACACACCAATGTAAGTAATACACACCAATGTAAGTAGCACACACCAATGTAAGTAACGTGCGCCAATGTAAGTAGTGTACGCCAATGTAAATAACACACGCCAATGTAAATAGTGTACGCCAATGTAAATAACACACGCCAATGTAAGTAGTGTACCCCTATGTAAATAACACATGCCAATGTAAGTAATGCACGCTGTTCAGCCTTAACCTGATTTGCGCTTTACCCATGCAAGCTAGCGTCAGCATGCACAGTGCAACTTCAGCACAGTCAGGGCTAGCGCCTTTACACAGTCCGCGTCAGCATTACCCAAAAGACAGAGCGCGAGCAATACACGACCTTACCGTCCGCTGTCCACAGCACAACTCCTCCGCACGATCACGTGAATAGCCCTCACGTACGTGAACATGCATACGCAGAACAAACACATATGCCTGTGCTAAACCTATGGGCCTTTGGCAACCAATAGCGTACGTGCATTCAGTCACTGAGCACTTACACTCCGCCCAGTCACTAACACACCATAAATTAACCTTATTGCAACAGGAATGACGTAGGAAATAAACTAGCTATAAGTCCCTACACTTTCTGTTACAATAACATAGAACACAGTGATCGGTTTCCACTGAAATGTTCAAGTTTGTCTAAAATTAACACGAGTAAAGCCTGGTTCATACATGTACCGGTACTTCACGCAAAAGCGACAGCGAAGCGAAATTTGTGACGTCAACAACACATTCGAAGCCCATCCACCATTGTTGATGACTGAATTTTGCCTCGCACTTGCTTTCACGTGAAGTATGAACCGGGTTTAAAAGCTTGCTAGAAATAAGGATGAATTCTTCATGGTCAATATGTAAATGTAGGCCTATATGTCAAACATAGCAAAAATTTACCTCCAGAATCTTGGATGAGAAGTTATCAATAAGATGCTGGTTGAAGAGAAAGCTGAGGATAAAAAACAATGAACAAAAAATATCTGGTTTTGTCTATTTAGTTCTTAAAGTCTGTTCATACTCAGTGTGACAAAAAGCGTGAACACAAATCTCATGGCAGGGGTTTGAATTCTACCGACGGTCATGTGTCGTGTCCTTGGGCAAGCCACTTCACCATTACTAAGAGGGAAAAATGAGTACTGGCATTAATCTGTGGAGAAAAAAAGGGTACTGCCAAAATCAAACACTTTCTATCTCAGGCTGTGCTCCATGGTCTTAATGGGTTGATGTGGCTGGCTGCCAGAGCAACCTTTGCATGCCAGCGGCTCGACCACACTGTAGCCGCGTCCTTCACAATTCAGCTTCTCAGCTGCCAGTAAGGATGATTAGCCTCCTAAATTATTATTATTTCTATTAGTAGCAGGAGGTAACCTGGGATGGATTGGCATCCCATTCAGGGGGACTAGAAATATTCTCAGTCGTTTCCAGCCAAGCAAACTGGAGATAAATGCTGGTCTGGAGAGTCACTTTGGCTCGATTCTTCGATTATTTCATGAAGGGTGAGGGCATAACACAAAACTCAGCTTTAACAGTTTAAAATATGGTATTTTAATCGTGCTGGTTATATCATTTAACAAAAAATGCTCTACCTGTCTGCTGCTAATATGAACTCCTTGAAGAATTCCTGGCAACCATGGAAAGCTGGAGGGGGGCTCGGACCTCCAGACATGGTTGGGATGAAGAACCTCTCTTCAAGCCTGCGGGATAAGAAATAAACAATGTTCAATTATTGCAACATCGTTCAAGATGCAATCATGTGAGCAACATGAACAAGTTAGCAACTAACACAAAGACTTGAAATTCACCATTATGTGTACATTGTGTAAATACTTTATTCTGTTTTGTTAGACATGCTGCAGTGTGTTTAAGGCCCCCCCCCCCCAAAAAAAGAGATGTGTTTCCAGTAATATTGCCCAAAAAAAGAAAAGTCAATAAGTAGGGTAGTGGTTTTTTTTGGGTGTGTTTTTCTTTTTTTACATACATACAAATGTACACCATCTGTTTGTATACAGGTACATATTGGACGGCCTCTGGACAAGGTACTTTATTCAATACGCACGAGTATTCCAGATGTGCATTTGTGACATTTTTTTCCCATAGAAACGTACTTAAGTAAAACAAAATAACATTACCAAAAAAGTTCAACTGCCAAACCTTTACATGTACACCCAAAATAACAGGGTCTGTTTGGTCACCAGAAACAGCTATATAATTTATATATTTTGGCTTTACCTTTATTCCCAATTTTCATCATAAATGACATTAATGTGCACTATTATGGCATACTCATTAGTTTTCCAACGAGCCAGTCTAAGTTTTACCAGTTGAGGAAAGCTATCTGTCGCGATCTGTCTCCCAACCTAAACCTAAACTCTGCTTCGGTCCTCTAACATTGACGAGCAATCTAAAGGCCCAGGGATATGGATTCGTTCTGGTGGAAATGTACCGCCGTCGATTGGTTGTTGATGGGTTGACTCTGTTGACTCACACTTAATAAAGAATTGTGAGATTATCAGCAAGATCAATTACTATCCTTCTCTTCTATTATTGGGAATTATCTTATTCACACAATTGGGTTTCAATTATAGTTATACAATTATAAACTGGCGCCTATATCATCTGCACACCGCAATCCGCAATCGCAATCCGCAATCGCATTCCACACCCTGAAATTACCCAAATCTCTTTGGAAAACTCTGACTCCAAGTAAGGGAAATTCAAGGCAACAGTCAGCTCTCTCCTTGTCCAGTTTCTCACCGTGTTTCTGACGATGACCTTTGGACAATAGTCGACGACAATAGTCGACAACCTAGCCTACAACTTGACCCTATATTTCTCAGAATTATGCACTATTTTCTGTTCTAACTGACATACACATAAGTACACATTAAATCGACCACTCCAAAATGTTGAATGGTTCAAATATTCCTGAGAATTATACTGGATAATAAAGATTTACACACAATCTAAATCGGTTGAAATAGTCACAAGAGGACTATACAGGATAATCAAACGTTATACAGGATTCAAAATGATTTATAGCTCAGTAAAACCTACAGCAATGTAGCAGGCATATCAACAATTTTTTTTTCTCCAGAATTAAACATAAATACCAGTGTAACACTTGTCGATTAAGATATGCCGGAAAACTCTCTTTTCTTTTCTTTTAACTACATAAAATATAGGTACCTGTAATAAAGCTCCAAAAAATTGCTTACGAAAACAATATAGGATGAACATGTTATAAAACTCTTTTTTTTTTCGCCGCAATATAGAAAAATAGAAAACTTGCTCGTGTTTCTAGTTAAGTTTACGCAGGAAGGTCAAGAGTCGATTCCTTTCCCAGGGTGATCTCAGCATCCATCTCGATGGTCTTGAGGTACGAATCCCTGTGTTTGGTTTGGCATATACAGTTGACGTCTAGGTACACCTTGGATTGCCAACTGGTCCCAGTGGGACCAGTAAGTCTTCACCTCGGAGGAAGAGTGTGACACATTCCCCCACTCAGAGCGACCTTTGCCCTCCTCTTTGTCTCTCACGACCCAACTCATGGTCGTATCTTTGAGTTGAGTCTCTCTCAACTCATCCCTGGAAATCGCTGGCTGGGCTACTACGCCCCTCACCAACATCTCCTCTGTGGGTCATACTACCCGGGGCTTCTTTCTTATCCATGGCCTCCTCTCGGCCACACTGCTTACACTGTCCTCTTGACAATCCATCTGCGTTGGCATGTTTCTTGCCAGGTCTGTGCTGGATTTCTATGTCATATTCTGAAATGACCTCCAGCCATCTCGCCAGCTGTCCCTCTGGGTTCTTAAAATTAAGAAGCCAGCGAAGAGCTGCATGATCAGTCCTGATCATTACTTTCCTACCGTAAAGGTATTGCTTGAACTCTTTCAAGTATACCACTACTGCCAACACCTCACATCTAGTCACGCAGTAGTTCTTCTCCGGTTTACTATGTTTTCTGCTTGCATAAGCAAGAACATTCTCTCTCCCATCCCTAAGCTGAGACAACACCGCACCGATGCTTTCTCTGCTAGCATCAGTGTCTAGGATGAAGTCTTCCTAGGGAATAGGGTACGCCATGACTGGAGCTGTCTGAAGCTTACTCTTAAGCTCCTCAAATGCACCCTGGCATGCTTCACTCCATTCAAACTCCCTCAACTTTTCAGTCAAGGCATGCAGAGGACTGGCTGTCTCCGCAAAGTATGTACTTTCTGTAGTAGGACGCGAGGCCGAGAAAGCTTCTCACGTCCCGTACACATTTTGGCACTGGCCACTCTGCAACTGCTCTCACTTTCTCTGGATCTGTGGCCACTCCTTCTGCGAACACGATGTGCCCTAGGTAGCCAACTGATTTCTGGAATAAGTGGCACTTGCTAGGCTTTAACTTAAGCCCTGCTTGCCTCAGTCTTTCCAGCACTACTCTCAGACGCTGTATTGCCTCCTTCTCCGTCTCACCGAAGACAACTATGTCATCAAAGTATACCAGCAGGATCTCCCATTGTAACCCTGCTATGACCTTCTCCATGAGTCTCTCGAAAGTCGCCGGGGCATTGCACAAGGCGAAGGGCATGCACTTCAACTTGTACAGGCCATTTCGCACAAGAAACGTGGATTTCCAACTGGCTTCTTCAGATTATCCAGTGTAACCTGCCAATACCCTGACGCAAGGTCTAGCGTCGAAAACCACTTGGCCCCTCTCAATCCATAAAAAATCTTGTCGATATGCGGAACTGGGAATGAATCTTTGATGGTGACGGCATTTAACTTTCTGTAGTCTACACAGAATCGCCTCGTCCCATCCTTCTTTGTAACCAGGACAACATTAGCTGCCCATGGACTTTCTGAGGGTGCTATGACCCCTCGTCTCTCCAGGTCAGTAACCTGCCTCTGGATCTCTTGCTGGTTGACGTAAGGATTGTGTCTTGGCCTTTCATTAATGGGTCTTGTGTCATCAGTTTTAATCTGATGCTTAACCACATCAGTTCTGCCAATGTCATGGTCCCCACTCGAGAAGACACCTTGGGAATCAACCAAGCACTTTCCTACTTCATTGTGGTATCTCACCTCCACATTGATTTTACTCCTCCTATACAAGTCTTGCAAATAATCTGGCAACCCCTGTCTTACTTCCTCTGACTTGTCCATTTCAGTCTGGACTGCCTTGGTCTCCACCGCAGTTACTAGAACTACGGTTTTCCCTTTTCTGGCAACTCTCTTGCCTTTTCCTGGGTTAAAAACCCGCAAAGGAACTGTCTCGTTCCCTGACTCTACCAGTGATCTGGCCAGCACAAGACCTTTCTTAGCCAAATCTCCTCCTCCATCAAGAGGTACTGCTACAGCTGGTCCTTCCAGCCCTTGTTCTCTTCGAGCTATCCTGCCCGGCACCACAGCCTCGTGCCCCGGGGGGGGGGGGGGGGGGGGGGGGGGATTACTGTGGTTTCTGTTACCACAACCCTTCCCACAAAGGGATCTCCGGCACTGCTGGTGCACCCAACTCTTTCTCCATTTATTCTCCACTCTCGAGTCTGGAAATCCAAGTTACCCCTTGTGGATAACAGAAAATCCATTCCCAAAATTACCTGGCACTTCATCTCGATGAAGACTGCCTTCACTGTGCGCGTGGTCTTACCCACCTGCAAATCCACCCAAGCAGTACCCAGTACGGCAAGGGTCTCCCATCGACCTGTCTCACTTGAACCTCGCCAAAGTCCAAGGTTGGTCTCTTTTCTTTGGGGATCTGATAGTACATTGTACTACTAATGAGTGTGTCTGTGGAACCAGTGTCCATTAAACATCGACACTTGGTTCCTCTCACTTCACACTCTACAAACAGTCCGCCTTGGGGACCAGGGTTGGCAGCTGGAAGAATTACTTCCTTTTGGCCACCCTCTGATCTCCTCTGTGCTGCTGGCCAGTCTTTACGACTCTGCCGTTTCTTGGGTCCTCTGGTGTTCCCAGCCCGTTTCCCTGTTGCTGGAAACTTTTCTTGGGATTCTTACACTCCATAAGCAAAGTGGCCTTTCTCGCCGCACCTAAAGCAGCTCCAGTCACCTTGCTGGTTCTCCGAGGGTTTCTTCCTCTTTTGAGGGGTCTTCCCAACTGCCATACTTTGGAAACTCTTGCCCTGTACCTGCTTTGACAACTTCGTCAACAACTGTGTCAAATTATTCAGCTCACCCTCTAGCTTGCCCATTCTCTGCTCCATCAGGGAGTCTACTGCCCCCGCCATCTTGGCAGGTTTACCATCGAGCGTTCTCTGCTGCTCGACACTCTCAAAGTTGTCAGTTTCTAGAGCTGCCTGGATTGCTTCATCCAAATTCTTTGGACGAGCTCAGTTTATGCCTTCTTACACAGACCGACTTTCCACTGCTTCTAGAAAGTGATTCTTTGCCAACCGGTCACGCGATTCCTCCCGTATACCAGGGTATGCCTTGACCACCAACTCTTGTATGGCTTAACCCAGCTCCTGAAGGGTTTCTTTCGGCTTCTGTCACCGATGCCTCAGCTCAACGAGGTAGTTCTTGTCCCTCCTGTTCAACAACTTCACCAGCTCACTGTATGAATGCCTTTGGCCAGTGGGTACATCCCCTATTAATCTTAGGGCATTTCCTTGCAAACTCGCAACCAGATAGGCAGCTGCCTGCTCCTCGTCCCACTGATTCACTTCTCTACAAGGCTGAAAGTGCTGGAAATATTCTTTCCACAGCACCTTGCCTGTATATCTGTCTCTCAAACTGCAGGAACTGGGCTTCTAACTTAAGCCTCTGCAGTTTCATCTCCACGCTCGAAGGACTCTGTTATTAGACTCAAACTGTTGCACTCTTGTACACAGCAAAATGTAAACATTCCTGTTTCTTACAGAGTCTCTAAACCTGGCAACAGTCCGCCGGGTGTTCCTTACACCTTGGACTTACTTGCCGGTACGGGAAATCTCTGTCCCCAAACTCGGCAGAACAATTTTGTCTTTATGTTCTGCTTTACTACACTGTTAATTCTCAACAGTGCCCAACCTTGCAGAACAGCACAAGCAACTTTACTAACACTTAGTCGACAAAAACACTGAACCAATCAACTCCAATCATCCCACTTCTGAAACCATTTGTGGCGTAATTATTAGTTTTCCAACGAGCCAGTTTAAGTTTTACCAGTTGAGGAAAACTATCTGTCGCGATCTGTCTCCCAACCTAAACCTAAACTCTGCCTAAACTCGAGCAATCTAAAGGCCCAGGGATATGGATTCGTTTTGGTGGAAATGAACGGCCGTCGATTGGTAGTTGATGGGTTGACTCTGCTGACTCACACTTAATAAAGAATGGCGAGACAAAAGGAATTATCGGCAAGATCAATGGGTACTGATTTAATATCCTTCTCTTCTATTATTGGGAATTATCTTATTCACACAATTGGGTTTCAATTATAGTTATACAACTATAAACTGGCGCCTATATATTCCGCACTCCGCAATCGCAATCCGCAATCGCAATCCGCACTCGGGCAACTTCCCTGAAATTAACCAAATCTCTTTGCATTGCTAGTGACTAACTCTGACTCCAAATAAAGGGAAATTCAAGGCAACAGTCGGCTCTCTCCTTGTCCAGTTTCTCACCGTGTTTCTGACGGTGACCTTCGGACAATAGTCGACAACCTAGCCTACAACTTGATCCTATATTTCTCAGAATTACGCACTATTTTCTGTTCTTACTGACAGACTCTAAGTACACATTAAATCGACCACTCCAAGTAAAAGTCGATTCCTACAGGCATGTAAAAAGCACTATACGGCACTGTTTCACCTACACAACTATCACTATGGTACAGCTGTTAGAAACGTACCTGCAAATTACGCCTGAACAACGAGGTTGCGCTGTCAAATTCAGCGGATTATCTCAGCTGGCTCTCCGTATGGACTTGTTGCTTGACCGTGTGCCACGCGACTCGCTCCGGACTCTACAACGCTCTAGCTCGGTCTGCTATGCAATGCAGCTCGCTCACATGGCATGGCGCACGCTAGACAAAACATAAACTTGCACCAGTCTCGCATTTGGCCGATTTGAAAATTCACAAAACAAAAACCCCAAAACAAAACACGACTGTGATGTTATTTTAATCTCAAAGTTGCGACGCTTTATTGTCAGAAGCCACATTTTTGTTGACGATGGTTCCTCATTCCCATCCTTTTAGCAGGTTAAAACTGTTGACACTTTTAAAATACCTACTGTAAAACACTCCAGCTGTCCATTATATCGATCGCCTCGCGCAAATTTAGACCGGCATGCTTTGCGTGCAACTTTTGACCGTCGTAGCACACAGTTGCAGGTGGTGTGTGTAAAACTTGATCAGAGAGTTTTGAATAATCAAATATTCAGTGAAACGCAGTTCCAATAATTGAATACTAAATTATACGACAATGGACAGCCCTACTAATTACCTCTTGAATTTTTCTGGGTTTGTCTTCTTCAGATTGCCCAGGAATCCTCGTTCCTTGCTGTCATCATGATGGTCAGATATTAAATGATCCCCTTGGCACATCTATTTAAGGTAGTGTAGAATTGTGCATTTGATTAAAAAAAAATCTCAAGAAATGAATGGATTTTGAGGCTTGTATAACAGGTAGAGTACATCATTTGTCATTTTTGTTTGTTTGAAGCAACAAGAGTGCTCAAAATCTAAAGAAGGGTGCTTAACAACTAACCTGACTAACTTTTAGCTCAGAGAATGCTGTATGTTCAGAGAAAACAATATTCAAGAATCTCGATTTCAATTCAAAAGTCGCCGCGTCATGTTTTGAACGGAGCCCAAAATCAGCGTGTGGGACACGTTCTCATTCGGCCGATTGCAGCTACGCGGTGTCACGCATTGAACCAATGAATAACAGCAACCGCCCACGTGTGCGTCGTGTCAACACTTGCGCTCACCCATTCACGGCTTTTCCGAATTAAAAATGATCTTATTGTTTTCTTCAAAATGAAAACATGATTGAACAATAACAACACCAAGTATGCTTTGCAACAATAATTTCGTCAGTTAGTTTTTGGATAGCTGCAAATGATCTACTCTACCTTTAAACCAACTGTTTTATGTTTTATGTGAAACACTGTAACCTGACGTTTCAAATAGTATTATTTCATACAGCTAGGAGGCATGGCATTTGCAAAAGTACACCTCTTAGTGTGAAAATTCACAGCGTTTTAATTCTAAGACTTGCTGGTAAACGTGAGCATGTTACAACTAGCTTACAACTGACCCTTGTGAGTTGAGAACTGAAAAGTCGGGCAAAGTGTGTACAGTTGGAAACCTCCACCACCTGCTGAATCAGATCTCTGAAATAAAAGTCAATACATAACGACAATTAATACAACAAAATATGGCAATGGGATATCACATTCCCCTACCAAAAACAAAAATCCGACCAAAGAGTATTTGAACACCAATCATTGCCAATTATGCACCAAAAAAAAACTGATGAATTTTAATAACTACCAAGGAAAACAAAAAATTAAATGTCTTGGATTGAAAAATATCTCTCTCTTCCAATTCAAATAATTCATAAAGAATGAGGTCGATTCACTTGCTTTATTTTAAATAAGTTGGCAGACATACAGGAAGGTTGAAAGGGGGATATACTCGACTAAACTCGAACAAAAACCTCAAAAGCTCAAGAAATCCTGTACGACTTGTATTTCATGTATTTGGAAATTTACGGAGGCGAAAAATACATTTTCACCATTCAGCACCTGCATTACATTGTATTACATTGTATTAATTCCCTGATGAATCAATAAAACCAATGAGCTTGGACCATTTTTGGCAGCACAGGTAACAGGCAGAGCAGTCCAGCGACTAATGAGTTAACACTTGGTTTTGCCATTCACCAACATACATGTACATGTAGCTACATATGAATGGAGTACCGAAGTGAATACGTCACGCACACAAATTGTGTGTGAAAGACATTAGCGCGTGATTCAGCCCGTGAACCAACACGCGCGCGTACTCTATTCATTTGCATAAACTTTCTGGTTCTAAATGACGTCACACTTCGGTACTCCATGAGAAATAAACCAAATTCATCTTTTGTTTCAGGGACGTACTGCATTATCCCGCCCCTAGGTTCTCGGACGATTTTGACAACTGATGCAATCATGAGGACGGCAGAGGACGGCAGAGGACGGCAGTCAACATCTCAAGACCAGTAATTTTGCACTGCTTGCCCTCAAACAGTGGCACAGAAGAAGAACTTGACTAGTAAGATTTGAGGATTTGCATGAATGAAAGGTTTGCAGAAACGCCATGTGGGATTAATTTCTCAAACTAAGAGAATGGTTGTGAAGAGAACCAGAGACCAAACTCGATGTTCCGGTCAGTATGCACTGACGTTCCGGTAGGTAGGCTCTCCTGAAGACGGTCAGAGCATACAGACTGGAACGTTGAGTTTATACCTCTGGTTCTCTTCACAACCATTCTCTTAGTTTGAGAAACTATTCCCACTTGGTGTTTCCGCCAACCTTTCATTCAAGGACTTGACTATCACACTAGTAAAAATAGCCAGCTACCTGATTCGTTTGGACATGGCTGACTGCATACTCCATCCTGGTTTGTTGTGGTGATCTAACCACTCGCGGACTAACTCATAGAACTTGTCCCTGTACAGAGACGAGTTTAAACAGGAATCACATCATTGCTAACACGTACATCAATGGCAAATGAGATGAAACAACTACTTCATTACAAGAGGTTTCTATTCTTTGAAATGACATATTTTTTTGTTTTAAAAACAAAGGTCTGAAAATTGGATGAAATGTCAGAAATATGTATTTTTTCTTCACACATAAAGTCTGATTTCAGTTTAAAAATCTGACAAATCTCATGCCTGGACAATGGACAGTAAACATAGGACATAAACCAGAAAAACAACTTGTCCAGATTGATGTGGTTGCCACCCCCAGCATGAATATTGCCACCCCCAGCATGCCCAGGCAAATCCCAATGAAGTAAACTTTAAGCTCAGCTTCTTTTTTTAGAGAAAAATCAGCATGAAAAAAAAAAAACAATCTGAGAAAACAATTGGTCACTGCATAATAGTGCAATCCTTTCATGCATTATTCTTTTCTTTTTATGCCACAAATGTTTATGTCGATTCAGAACAGAATAATGACTTAGGGATGGAATTAGAATTACAGCCACCTAAGCATATAGACTCCATGCACAAATACCCCCTCAATGGTTGTCGGGGTCCGGGGTCTGCTCGATAGTCCAATGATTTGATAGTTCGAAGGGTTTTTTTTATCTGAAGGTTCCAACGCACAAATTTCCCATAACTGGGGGTTTATTATTCCAAAAATGAAATAAGGTTCGTCAATCTAAACATTTAATGCAATGGTCAAAAAGTTCGTTAGTCTAAAGGTTCGATATTCAAAGATTCATTTATCAGAAGGTTCAATAGTCCGAATTTAGAATAAGGTTAATAATGTTAAGAAGTCCGAAGGGTTCAATAGTCCGAAACTAAAACAAGGTTCAATAGTCCGAAGGTTCATTATTCCAAAAGCACACAAGGTTCGATAGTCCTAATTGACAAAAGTGTTCAACGCTGTGAATTTGGACAGTTGAACCTAATATTATTGATTGTGGTCACAAAGTCGAAAGTGGTCACAAAAGCGCCATCTACTGTTTGCGCACAGAGTCTATTAGAACATTTGTTTAATTGGCAGCCAAGCAGAGGCTCTCAGAGCTATTGGCATTGTGTAAAGTTAGGAGCACAGATACCCTCGCTTTCAATGCAAATGTGTCCATTGGTAATTTGTCCATTGGCGACGGGTCTAACCTCTGTTTCTTGAAGCTGTGGAAGGCTGCTTCGCTGGGGAAGTTCCTCCTGTTGTCCGTATCGGCCAGGAACGGCACTGCCTGGACGGGGGACTTGCTGGTCATGACGACAGGTCTTGCGGACCCTCCCTCAATAACTGACTCCAGCTCGCTCCTGAGGTTGGGGCTAAACTCGGACAAGTGGGGGAGTTCGGAGAGCAGCCTCAAGGTGGTTTTATCCAGGAATGTCAGGAGCCTGGAGAATACAGGAAAAGATTTGATTTGATCAATCTTGTCACCAGGGGCAAATCTCAAGGAGTTGCTTAGGGTTAGAAGAAAAGCTGTGCCAACTATAGCAAGGAATCTGCGCTAATTTGAAACATATTTCACAGCTTTGAAAGGCAAATGCTTACACACGCTCTCAGCGATTTCCATTTGCTTGGTTAAGATTTGTATTGCTCATGCAGTGCTTGTACTCTCCACGAGACTCTTCATGCTTGTAGAGTACATCACAAGTCCCTTTAAAGTCCATTGCAAGTCCTTCAGGTACAAGTCAAGTCACTAGCTATTCAAATGAACTGTTACAAAAGCATTCCATATTGTTCATCCAGTTATTTGGGACTGGACTTTGGAAGGGACTTGTGACTGGACTTGTGACAGGACTTGTGAAAGGACTCGACTACAACACTGGTTATAAATACATGTGCAATGCACATGACATTCCTTGCCTTCTGCCATTAAAGATAATAATGGGCACATTAATTTTTTTTGTTTTTAAATGAGCAAGATGTTTTCTCAAACTCACCAGAATTGGTTGAGGAGAACAGACACCGCAAAGTACACGCAATTGTGGATGGAGCACAGATAATTAATATCCTCTGGATCGCACAGGTCGTTAATACCCTCTGTGGTGGACACGCTCCCTTTGGCGGTCAGCAAGTGAACGAGGAAATACAGCTCCATGGTCAGATTGGGCATCAGACATTCTAGGAATAAATATATTCAATGTTCAATTTGAGAACATGGGTTTAACATACTTACACAGCAGGAAAACGTGCACTTAGATGTAGAATGGGGAGAGATCAATGCCGTGCAATAATTGACTTTGTTATATTGTGTGCTTGAATACTGCAATTTTATTGGGCGAGAACGGCCAATAGCACGTCATAGCAAAACAACTGTTGACTGCTGCAATAAAGGATACATGTATGCCGTTTTTTTTAACCCCCTCAGGGTGCATAGCACCCGAGCTTCGCCTGATGATTCAAGTTTGCTTGCACTTTGGACAAAGTACACATTAGGGCTGTGCATTGGAACCGGATACCCGAGTACCCGACCGTTAATGTCAGGAACCGGTTCCAGATTATGGGATCGGGTACCCGTAACCAACTTTGCAAATTACTTAGTAACTTCTCAGTTGATGAAAAAGAAAGGATTTGAATGTCAGTGCGACAATTTTCAAAATGAAAAACAGGATACATGGAAAACCAAAACCAATTTCACGTTACTTTTATGATGCTTGCGATAGTTGCAGTTTTCACCACATAACTAAAAAGCTCACTGTATACACTCTATCTAGGCCTACTGCCGCACGGATGTGTCAGTATTATCGTGCGGACTTTATGAACAATCTGAACAACAACTTCCCAGATTTGAATTTTTGGCTTGGGTTCTTTAACGGTACCCGGGTACCAATATTTATTTTTAGTAGGCTACCCGGTTCCTGTACTACCCGTAAATGCACACCACTAGTACATATATGTGTATATTCTCATTTACTGAATAACTGATTGACTGACTGACCGATAATGCAAGTACCTGCTTTCTGTTGGCACAACACAAGCTACAAACTGTACATCTTCTGCACTGAACTCAAATGCTGCCTTTACCATTGGAATGTTGATTGATTGCCAGTGCTAGCCCCTCAACCTCCAAGAGTACATGTATTATTGGAAGGAATCAGACTGCAATAGGATGCCATATTTTACCTTTTGTACATGCCGAGTAAAGATCTACCAGCTTATCAACATGATCTTGGTACGTCACCTCATCCCTTGAGGCCTTGGTGAACTCAGTAGGGTAAGGAAAGGCAGATGTTGCGTTTGTTGACTTAGTTGGCGTCTGTGGTTTCAGAGGGGAGCAAGCTGAAAGAGGGTTGCTTGAAGAAGGTCCTTTAATGGGATCTTGAAGGTTCGCTTGCTGCTTGAGGCGCTCTAGTCTGAGGAGTTCCCTCTCCTTTTCAAGACCTAGGCTTGACTGGGTAGGGCTGGGAGTAGCATCAGGAGACGGAAGAGCCCTGTTGAACGTGCTGCCTGGATGCAATGGCTCCTCCTGATACAATTTGGAAAAAACGGGACTTGAGAGAGATTGCTGTTTCACTCTGGTGGTTAGGATCTTCCGGTGTCCGGTAATGGTCGTAGGTGTGATTCTCCTTATTGGAGCTGTTGCGACTGTTGAAGGGGTTCCCACGGCAGGAAAGTCCTCAGAGTCATTTAAGACAAATTCAGGCACCTCAGGGTCTTTGATCATCATTCTGGACTTTGTTTTGAGGGAACCATCACTGTAAGATGTCTTGCTGCCCTTGCTACCAGGTCTGCGTTTGGCATTCGATGGTGTTCTGTGGGTTCCATTTTCTCTGAGATGATGCTGATCGCTTAGTCGCCTACCTTTTGGCTGATGAACGTTCAGTCCTTCCGGTTTGATGTACTGACCCAAAGTCAGCTGTTCGTCTTTTCTATGAAATGACGGCGACATTTTCTTGGTCCTTCCTTTGTACTCATCGTGCGGAGTCTTGAGATAAAAATGACCACCTTGGTTCCGTGAATTTACCTCGGTTGTAGTTCTAATGGGGCTTTCCTCTTCAGAGTACAGGGACTTGGGAGTTAGGGTCCCCTCTGAGGCGTCTGATCTCAGGGGACTGGGGCTGAAAAGCTGAGTTCTGTTTGGTCGACGCTGAGCATCCCTGCCGCTGGGTTCTTGCCGCTGCGATCTCTCTGGGGGATTCTGATGCTGCTGGCTGGATCTTCGAAACTTCTGAGCGCTTGCTGGGGTCTTGGCTGGAGTGGCCCCTGAGCTAGGTCCATGGCCAATGAGATGGGATGTCTGATCTCGTAGATAATTGATGAAAAATGGCAGAAAGTCAGCCCGCAGTGACCGATCTTGAAACAGTTCACATTCTGATTCAACCTGAAACAGATTGAAAAATATGTGTTTTTCCCTGCACCCGGATCTTTAATGTCATGAATGTGGGCTGTAAAATTATAAAGTGAACTAGTTCAAACACTTTAAACTTTAAGTAACATTTTTGACATAACTATGGGCTTGCACTCAATAATCAGAATAAAATACAGCATTAACGTTATAACAATCTTGTAATGTTGCCAATTGATCTTATTTGACTATGGCTTGAAATTACACACAAGTCTATGCAGCCACAGCCACTTCCCATAGACTCGTGTGTAACTTCAAGCCGTAGCCAAGAAGTAATTCGTACACGGCCTGAGGCTGAGGTACCCCTAGAACTATGGGTATTACTCGTAAAACCCATACTCCATAGGTAGGGATATCAACGCGAACATGCTGTATACTCCACGAATATTATACAATCAACCTGCCAGCATGTGGCCAGTGAGTTTTGGAGCGACCGCAGTATATTTGTACCCCAAGACCTATGCCCAGTACTTCTTGACATAATCACGTTCATATCGCTAACAATTGAAAAAAAAAATATTTTCACTCTCAGAGTGGGCTGGTATAGAGGCAGGGTTGGTTGGTCGTGGGAGACGTATTTTTGACTAAATTTTTTACTAAAGTGGTGTCTCTCTCGTCTGATTGAAGCTGTTTTGGCTAGTTTATTTTGAAAGTGTTCCTTTGGGATGCAGTTTATCAGTTTTAACTATTCCGGTGTATAATAGAAATGTTTGACTTTGGACGATCTTGACACTTGTGCGGACTGTTGTGCTCCGTCCCGGCTTAATTGTCCATGGAATTGATTCCATTCATGGGATGATTGGGTCGGGATGGAGTGTAGTGAGTTTGCGCGGGTGTCGAGACTGCGCTGGTTCGTCTCCGCTTTCGTGCATTTTAGTCTTTTACTTTTCTTAAATGTTTTAAATATATATTGAATGTTATTTCTTCATGTTTTTTTCAATATTGTAATAATTGTTGCAATTCAGTTTTTTTGCTGTGATGACAATTTTTAATAAACCTTTTATGAATGAATGAATGAAATGTAAGGGTTGAATCGATCCGGATGGTGCAATGAAATGATGAAAACAGTCCCCGTTCCGTACCGGAGCCACAGTTTGAGTTTTAACGTTTTAACGTGCACGCACGTGAAGCGTTGTTGGCACGACGTCAGAGTCTTTTGGTCTGAAAACCGACCACAGACACCGCGTTTATTTTAATTTATACTGCATATCGCGGGCGGCGTCAGACTGGCCAATCATGAGACCACGTGATAAACGCTGCTAATAATTTGGAATCGCACTTACACTACAGTCAAGACATAAGGAGTGCCCGGAGCATCAGTGCGATACCAAAAATTTGCAGCATTTATCACGTGGCCCATCTGACGTCGCTCGCGATATGCACTACAAACACGGTGTCTGTGGTCGATTTCCAGACCAAAAGACTCTGACGTCACACCAACAACGCTTCGCGCGCGTGCACGCTAAAACGTTAAAACTCAAACTGTAGCTTCGGTATGGAAAGGGGACTGTTTTTATCATTTACTGCACTATGGTATCGGGATCGATTCAACCCTTACACTTGTTAGCGATATGAACGCGAGTATGTCAAGAAGTACTGGGCTGTGGGCATAGGTCTTGGGCCTGGGTACACAGCATGCCCAGTATCCGGACAATAGACTAATGTAAAAGTATCACTCAAACGTCACTTGAATGAGCCAAAATCGAAGAATTAAGTCGTTAATATTACAACTGATGAAGTTAACTTATAAATGCAAAAGTTCGTACCACATGTTGATTTGATGACAACCATAAAACCAAACTTTTTGAAGAAATCTTCCCAGCAAGGAACTCCTCCAACACGGCGGCCATTTTTAAATGGGTAAATGGTGTGCAATTTTTTTTTCTAGAAAATAATCCAGAGTTTAGTTTTCAAAAAAAATAAAAAAAATATGGATGTGCCAAACTAAGGAAATATAATATGTGCTTACTTTATGTCCGTTAAATTTCCGATTTTAATATTACTTTGATTTTTTTTACACCAAATTTCACGTTGGAGTAAAGGGATCCTTGCAGTACAAACGAACATTTTCGCGCCAAAACTTATCAGCTGTTTGGCAGCTGACCTTTAAACGCGCGATGTAAACAAATGTCTACGCGACACATACATGTGTACATGGCGCGTCGGCTTGAATGTTATGTGCATGTGATGTGTGAAGTGCACTGTTAGTTTACTTGGCTTGTGAAACATGTTGAAAAGAGCGTGTCCATTCGGGGACTCTATCCCGAATCAGATGAAAACTCACGTTGGTCAGAAGGAAGTGGCCGAAGGAGTAGATAAGGAGAAACACATGAAGGAGGTTTATGGTAAATAAACGGTAATCCTTACTTTTAGGACCCCTTTCCTATATAAGGTTAAAAGACTCACCAAAACAGCTGACTAAATGACACTCAAAAGTGACATTCTGATATTTCATGACACATTCGAACATTTGGCAATGACACCTCTTGAATGTCAGCAGGTTTGATTTTGTAGAAAGAGGGCAGGGTTTTGATTTATGAGGGGTTAAAGACGACGATGACAAACAGAAAATAAATTTAAAAAGCAAGATGGCGAACTGCAAAAAAAGGTAGGAAAGTCACATTTTCTTTGAAAGTGCTTTCAAAATTATAACTAACATGAGTTTGTCTGAAGAAAAAAGGCTTCTTTAGCCTGCAAAAGTCACTTTGGTATTGGACAGTCATCTGCAAAAGTCAGTTTTGAACAGAACTCGTACAAAATAGAGGTGTCCTAAAAGTAAGGATTACCAAATAAACAGACATTGAAAATTATTCAGACGCCATTTCGCTGCCTGTTTGGTTGTGTAAGTTACAACTAGCGACAACCATTGTACACAGTGAGTGGTACAACTACAATTTATACTTGGAGGCCTCATTGAAACTGCTACCTAGGCTATATAAAATGTGCAGGTTTTTTGGGCTTTGGAGCCTTTGCAACAAATCGCAAAGTGCGTACTTTCGGCATGTGTTCGGTGGATCAAATGGGTACTTCTTATTCGGAGGGTTCCTACCAATACCATTTTCACGATTCAGGGCAATTGTTACAGGCACCGCTCCTATACATGCTGTAAGAGAATGCATATCATCTATGAAAATCCACTTTTAGGCAATTGGACTCACCCAGTTAAGTAAGTAATTAACAATGTTAAAAACCAGCAGGACCGCGTGAATAGGGCATAGGCCTAGCTTAGATTTTTTTAGGGCAATGTTTTTGGGAAAAAATGACGATGTAGACAACAAAGCCCAACACCAAAGTAATGAGGGCCGTCACTGCGACGCACCCATGAATGCGCAAAGCTGCATTGATTTGCATGGCTTAAAATGCATAAGAAATTTGCATTTTCTATCAAAAGTGGCTGTTCAAAATAGCAAAAATAGGGTCATTGGAATTTAAAGAAGACACAAACTTGCACACGTTCGTATTGTTCCCATTTTTTCTCAAATACTTTAGAATGACAGTTGATTCACAGATGTAAGTATCGGTACTTAACATGCAGATGCTCATAAAACTTCATGGATGTAGATAGAGTGTTTTGACATGGCTACGGAACGTGGTGGTTGACACCGCCAAAATTACAGGTCTATGAAACATGGACTGGAGAGCTTACTTGAAAACTAACTCGCTGTTGGGTGCACCATGCTTATGCCAAAATCTATGGTAAACTCGGAATTTTTGCTTGGCTTTTATAGGGTTATTAGGCCTATTCGCATAGGTGTAGCAGGATTACATCACCATTTGCACAGAAGGTTTTCACTGGTCATTGCTGGTCAAGTTACGATGAGTTATCATTTAGCACTCCAGCGTCAAGAACCATTGAGGTTTGGAAGCACCCTAAACTGGTTACTAACACAGAAAAGGATTAAGTTAGGCATTCCAAGTTGTCCCTATTCCGTATAATTTCTGAGGCAACTTTGAGAACGTTTTCCTCAACATTTCATCTGGAGTGGACATTAAAGGGACACTAGGTCCTGGAACAGCCCAATTGGGCTACAAAATGCGCTCCGAACGAGATGACGTTTATTGGAAATAACATTTAAAAGTAGGATGTACACATCCACACAACTATCCCTTCAAAACTGGGTGTTTTTGTGTTATTCCTGTATTATGCGTGCGAGAAAGAAATTCTGGGTCCACTTTTGCGACCCCATAAATTCGAGCTGTTTGGATGCTAGTTGCGATTTCATTGGTAAAGTGTTCGCCTTTTGCGGACGTTGAAGAAACCACTTTTTTTGCATTGGTGATAAGTCACCGCTGTTTCCGAAACACACAACGTGTATATCGTACACTGAGAGTGACACGAAAAACGTATTCGTACTCCGTCCTGTCCGATGTAATCAAGCGGGGTTTATTCGTCTTTTCTCGGGAACGGTAAGACTTTCAGTTGGTTTCCTTTCAACCAGATGTTTGAAATAGGCTAAGTAAACAATCCAGAACATAAGATTTTCGGGGATTTCAGGACCTAGTGCCCCTTTAAACAGTTATCACTTCAAAACAAGAACTTATCAGAATGATCTTTTATCCTGATGTAGAGAAAACTCTGGCAATGATGTTCGAAGCCCAGAAGCAAGCTGGTAAAAGTGACTCCACTGCAGTGACTAACGGCCATCAACTTGACAGCAACAGCATACAGAGTAAAGGAGCTGAGGGTTGTCATGACAACGGAAGCAGCTCTCCACACATGGAACTCCTGCCAGGCCAGTGTTTCTTGGATGAGCACGGGAAGATCATCGTCGGTCAGATGGTTGTTCCGAAGTCAGACGAGGGTGCGTTTAGAAATTGTGGTTTTTGCGTACATCCAATTTACTGTTCCAGTGCTGTTAGAGCTGGTAATAAGCACAGAACTTTGTGGATAGCAGAGCCAAATTTGGTTGCCAGTACTCCTTCTACTGAGAGTGACCCCATAATTAGGTCAAAAAAATTTCCTCCTCGCCCTCCTGCTTTTCAAAATTTGTAGCAGTTTGTTTACTGCCTGGTTCGTCGGTCTGCTTATGACAAGTTCATACATGTACGATCGGTAAATTGGTTTCAAGCCCCCCCCCCCCAAATGCCTTAACTATGCCCCAGAGTGCCTTTGTTGTGTTAACTAACTGAAAGGGTCCATGAAATGAATTTTTCTTAGGGATATATTTTGTGGAACTTTGTACTACTCTTAAATGTATGAAACAATATTTGACGTCCCATTTTGGTTATATTTAATTGAAAAGTGGATAAGCTTCCTTAAACATGTTTAATGTTTTTTGGACAACTGACGGTGCTGTTGCTGTGATGTCATTTCAGGGAGATGCTGTTCAGGTTAGGGGTTTTCTGTTCAAACTGTGAATCCAAAGATTTGCTTATTGAAACTATTTGGGAGAAAAGTTTGCTCAATGACTTGCTTCCATGTACTGACACAACAACGAATCACCAAAGTAAAGAAATTTACTATAGTGAAATGTCCAAAATTCTGTCAGCATTTGGTGCTGAAATAGCAGTAACATTGAGGTTTCTGCCTGAAATAACGTCACACTTTTGCTCATGAATATGGAAATCTGCATTAGCATAAAAACCAAAAAGGCGCCAAAATACCCTTGAAAATGGCAAAACCAAAATAGAAAATAAGGTTAAATAGGACAGATAGGTGTATTTCATGGATTACATTTAAAAAAAAATACATTCCATGAGCCCTTTAAGACTTGACTTGGGTTGCGACTTGATGACTTGTGATTGACTTGTGAGGACGTGCGATGGATTTCTCATGGACCTGTGAGGACTTGTGAAGATCTCAGACACTTAATTTTGTTTGACCTGAACTTTGACCTGCTCCCATTCCTACTCACATGCATTCATTGTTGCTCACACCAGACGGAGCCGTGCCACCGAGATGTTGTGCCTGTCAAAAGCCCATGGTACCCGTCGCTGTGTCCCGCTGCAGTGCCTGCCAAGATTCCATCTGCCCAGCCTGCTTGAGACTCTGTCTACAGTGCGAGAACGGATTCTGCAACATGTGCTCTCTAATCAAGTGAGTTTGATAGAAATGTTCACATCAAATTCACTGCAGAAAAAAATGAAGTTCAGGCCGATTTGTACTTCATGCGAATGTTGGTGAGAAGCAAATTCGTTTTCATTATCACAACGAAACTTGTTTTAGCTTTTTGCTTTCGTGTGAAGTATGAACCCGCCTTTAATAACATCGCTGGGTTTTACACATTGTTCTGAATATTAAAACGTGCACACACAAATTTTATATGGCACACACAACTGGCGCAGAGAGGCGCAGTAGTCTATTGGGATGGCAAAGGGGAGTATAGAGCCTGAAAGTTGACCCCTGGAGGCGCGTTTCCGGACCCCCTCGAATAGGAAAATCAGCATGTAAAAGTCAGAGTTTTAAATTATTTTTAGTACGTTGATTTCTTAAGAAAATCACCCTCGGAAAAGGCCACTTTTTATGGAAAATAAAAAATCGCATGACTTGGAAGAGAAATATCATGCCAAAATTGACCTCTCACTTTCGAAATTCTAAGATACATGTGGACTTGTGGAACTCGGAGCACTCGTACGAAGATGAACTTTTATGTCATTGGGTGAATTGAATTAACTTGAAGGACTAATTCTCATTTACAAATCCAAAATGATCATTGATAAGAACTGTATTCAAGCAAGCTGGAGTAAATCATTTTTGTTCTCGTGCAAGTAAGCGAAGTGAAAACAAGCGTGAACGAACAAGGAGACCTAGGTATGAAAATCAGGATATGAAGGTCATCAGTAAAAAAAAATTTTTCCCATCTCCAACTGATTTCTCGTCATATTTTTCTTGTAGGATGCCAAGATAAAATTCCAACATGAATGTTTCTCAGGGGTGATTACGGTTAGAAATCATTCTGTCAGAAATTATAGCACGAGAAAGGGCAACCCCGTGTAAAATGCCCATAGAAGGGTCGTGGAGGGGTCCGGAAGCTCAAAGACAAAATGGCGTACTTTTAGGCCCTTTTATCCATCAAACCTCTGCTCATGTCTTGGCCTAATCGCAACCATGATTGTGCAACCAGCTTGTCTGACGAAATTCAAAAATACATGCACTTGCTGAATCTGTCCATCACAATAACGAAGAGAAATAGTGATTTCCTTGCTCATTAGGAATCAAATACGTGTGTCTTCAAATCCATTTTTTATAGCATAGTTTTGCTCCGCTAACATGAATTCTAAAATGTTGATGTTTATTATTTTGTTTTTATCTCCAGTTATGATGAAGATTGTGATAGAATCTTTTGCCTGAGCTGTTCATCGCAAATGGAGTAAAGCCTGCTTGAGAAGCAGCATATGGTCACACATACAGATGATGTGAACAAAACGAGAAGAATTTACATGAACTGTTATATTAATTGTGTTTACTTTATATTAATTCTGTTGAAGAAAAAGACCATACTTTCCAGTGAATGGTTGTGCAGTAATGTCATTTTTTGGTTACAGACTGTACAAATATCACATTTAGTATTAAAGCAATTGAGAAAGTTTACTTTAGTCTAAAAACTAAAGATTGTACAGATTAAATGTTGGAAGAATATCAACATGTGAACTTTTCATAAATAACCCAAAAAAGGAAATCTGTTTGTACTCCTCCCATGTCCTCATTTCGGCTATTAAATAGTTTTTCAACAACCATTTAAATAGTTTGGGAAGGGAAAAAACTGTGATTACACAATAAGCTCTGGCCGCGTTAGAGTGACTCAAGTGAGGCTGAAGTTGCAAGAAGTCTTGCATGAAATTGATCAAAATGATCTCTGCCAGAGCTTAAAAATGGGACGCAGACTAAAGGGACACCGATGGCACATATGGAACACCATACTTTTGGTCAATTTTCGGGACAGACAGACCCACCACCAAGTGACAAGTAGAAGCTCCTTCCAGAACTTTAAAATCCAGAATTTTGCCCCTTTTGGGAATGGGGCCACCTTTTTGTTAAAAAAGGGGAGCACAAAAAGTGTTGTTGTAGTAAGTAGTCCAAATGCCAAATTATCATTTCTGAGATACATTTGAAATCGGTGGAAAGTTACATGTAGGACCGACACAGAATATTAGCTTGAAACAAACAACAAAATTTATTCTGAAGCTTTTATTACTACATGTAGATAACCTTTTACATCTCTCTACTTGTTTGAAGTATGTGAACATTCTTTGCTTTTTTGTGTCTAAAATTAATAATGGTTACAAATGCACTGTGAAGAGCATAAAAAAAAATAAACTGTAAATTTGCCATCAAGTTATATTTCGTGTGTATATCTTTCAAAAATATTTACAAACATTAGTAATCCTTTTCTCTCCAAATAGATATTTCGCTTTTCTAAATATATCTTTAAAAAATATATTAAATGTGTAAGCCGCTGAGTTGAAAGCTGAATAAAGTTGCAGAGTGGCTGTATATAGACTGAACAATAATGACGTTCTGCTTTTACATGCGTGCTTTCCTATGGAGCTTAGTGGCTATATATCATCCCCACCTGGCTCTTATAGGAAAGCTTAAATATAAACAAAGTGTGATGTCCTTTTGGATCACAACCCCCAATTACTCGGTTTGCATTAAGGAAATAAAAGTTTGCTTGGAAGGTGTTAGAGACAGTAATCACCCTAGCCAAAGGCGAGGGTTATTATCAGCATCCAGACTCCAACCAGTCTTTAAACAGAGTGTTTAATACCGACTAAGCACATATTTATTCCCATTCATCAATACCTTTTCCGTCAAAAAATTAAAAAAAATTCGGTCCGAAAGTCAAAACAAGTCAAAAATTATAATTTGTTTATGATTTCGATTAACAAAACACCCCTCTTGCTACACAGTGGTAAGGCCCTCTGGTCAACAACTCCTCATATGGAGATTGACGCGCCTACTGCGTGATGTGGCGCACAAGGCAGATGTACCGGTGTAGTGTAAATTTTAGGACCATGAAATATATGGACTCGCTGGTAGTATTGCACATGCCTAAGTGAGGATTGTGAACGTTCAACCAATAAAATGATGCTGGCACCGGATTTCATAGGGAGTCACTGGAAAAGTGTTTATGACCAGCCAGCCATGTCTTTATCAACTGTTTAAAACCGGCCACGTGACGGGCTCCTGACCAATAGGAATGGGTAAACTGTCTTACATGTAGGTATTTAGGAATGTTGATTTACGACCCAATTGCCAAAAATTAAAGATTTCCATCTCAAGTGTACTCTGTTGTCAAAACCATGAAGCCTTAAGTCATAGACATGTATATGTCAATAAACACAAAGATTTGCATGGGTGTCATTCATTTGCTGGCACCGTCCTCATTTAAGTGCAGTCTGAATATCATTATTTTTCGTTATAATTCAGTGAAAGACTAGTGCCTACTCTATTTTAGAAACAAGGACACTTCTGTCGGGTGCAACATCATAGTGGCCAGAATGGTCACTCGGACTAAGAAACATGAACACATTACACCAGTCCTTCAGTCTCTTCATTGGCTTCCGGTTCACGAACGCATCATCTTCAAAACACTTCTCCTTGTTTTCAAAATCATTCACAACCTTGCCCCATCATACCTCCAGAAGCTCGTATCTACCCGGTCCACAGCCATTTCATCTACATCCCGCCACCTCCGATCGCATTCTACAGCCCATCTTCAGTTACTGCCCGGACCTAAAACCAAAACCCGCTATGGCGACCGTGCCTTCTCTGTGCTAGCCCCGAAACTCTGGAACTCTCTTCCCATCCACATCCGTGAGACTGATTCATTGGACTCGTTTAAGACAGTACTTAAGAGCTTTCTTTTTTCACAAGCCTTTGTTCAGTAAATTGATAATTGTACAAGAAACAACTGTGCGCTTTGAAACATGGTGGAAAGCGCATTATAAATGTTGTAAGTTATAGTTATAGTTATACTCAAGGCATTAATAGTTAATTATTAAAACGTAACTGATTGTTTTCACTTGTTAAATTTTTTTGTAAGACCGATGCAAAGAATTGTGATACACTTGTTCTGTATACGACAAGCACTTTTTTAAGAACATAAATTCTACATCGATTATGAAAGTACATAACACTTAACTTCAAAATACGGTGTACAAAAACTTTTCACTTTAAATCTCTATTCTTTCATGTTAAAATCGCCATAAGGCACTGCACTTCCGATGTTATTTCCAGTAAAACGTAGGCAAGTTTGGACAAACTGCTTCTATTTTAAGCAGAACACATTTTCTCAACAGATCAGTTGTCACATGATCCCATCACCTATCATGTTGGTGGTGACTATGGCCAATTCCAAAGCTCTGCTTAACAGTTAGCAGACAAATTGTGCATAGCATAGCACAAACATTTGCTAGCAAGCACAATTTCATGGCGTGGATGTGCTAACGGACATGCATGCATGGAGATTTCCATCGTTACGTCACTAAGTTAAGCAAATTTTTCCCCCTGAAGTAAGCGTGCCTTTTGCTGTGCTTATGCTTACAGTCTCCATGAAATAGATGGAGACTCTGTTAGCAGAAAATCATGTGCTTAGCAGCGCCGTGAAATTGAGCCCAGGTTGTCACTCAGGATTTGTTTTCCATATGAAGTGTCCCGTGTTGAGATTAAAAGCACTTTCAATGACTAAAAATGATGTAACGCTTGTCGTGCTAGACGTATATCCGGGCATGTGATCGCTGCATACTCGCACGGCCCCCTTCAATGGAGAAGCCATTGTGCATGTCGTCATGCAAAAGCAACTGCCCTGTGGCAAATAATCTCAACGATGCTTTCGCCATTGAAGGGGGCCCAGATTGGTCTGTAAAACAAGGGAGTTCAGCTGCTGCACATGCAATGGCTGTTCCTGTGCCCAGTTTGACATTGTGGACCAGCATTACCAAAATCAGCTCACTAGTATGCACAGAATTTCCAAGCTTATAAATCTCAGACATTTTGTTCACAGCCGAAGTCAAACTTCACTGTTGACAATTAAAACCAAAAAACCTGTTAAAATGTTGAAGTTTTGAAAGACCATGAATTGACGTGAATGCCATATTTAAGGCCAAAGTTGAAGGATTATTGGATGCCATGCTGAGTATAAGGGAAAACAAAATTTTAGTTTCATTAATTTCAGAAGCATTATTTGACCAACTAATGCCAAAGTAACAGGAAACCTATAATAAGTTCCTGCACGAAGATAAACTGGTTCCCATCCGCAAAGTGTGGTATTTACTTCTCCTTTTTGATGATTTACTTCTTCTCCTTAATGCCATAATACTGCTCGCTGATGGACTTGGGCACTGAACGATTCTTGGCCGCGTGGGCACCCTTGGAACTTGATGGCAAAAACGCCTGAAGAAAGATCAAAAATACAATTTGTCATGTCTTAAGTCACTCTGGTCAAGTCTCAAATCACTCTGGTCAAGTCGCAAATCACTCTGGTCAAGTCTCAAGTCTCTCTGGTCAAGTCACAAGTCACTCTTGTCGAGTCTCAAGTCACTCTTGTCAAGTCTCAAGTCTCTCTGGTCAAGTCTCAAGTCACTCTTGTCAAGTCTCAAGTCACTCTTGTCGAGTCTCAAGTCACTCTTGTCGAGTCTCAAGTCACTTTTGTCGAGTCTCAAGTCTCTCTGGTCAATTCTCAAGTCACTTGTCGAGTCTCAAGTCACTCTTGTCGAGTCTCAAGTCACTCTGGTCAAGTCTCAAGTCTCTCTGGTCAAGTCTCAAGTCACTCTGGTCAAGTCTCAAGTCACTCTGGTTAAGTCTCAAGTCACTCTGGTCAAGTCTCAAGTCTCTCTGGTCAAGTCCCAAGTCACTCTTGTTGAGTCTCAAGTCACTCTTGTCGAGTCTCAAGTCACTCTTGTCGAGTCTCAAGTCACTCTGGTTAAGTCTCAAGTCTCTCTGGTCGAGTCTCAGTCACTCTTGTCGAGTCTCAAGTCACTCTTGTCGAGTCTCAAGTCACTCTTGTCGAGTCTCAAGTCGCTCAAGTACTTATTGTATAAAGAGGAATTACATGTATATCAAGCCAGAATGCAAATTAGAAGACTGCCAAAGCCAAATGTTATGCATCATCAAGTATGGGTTTGGCAGGATTCCATGACTACTCCATGACTTTTTTTTCTTGGAAGATCAACTTTCCATGACACCTTGTAAAAGGAAAAAAATTCCATGAATATTTCCATAATAGCTTTCAATTCCAGGATTTTCAGGGATTTTTCCCTGACTGGGGGAACCCTGTGAACTATGACCTGAATGCCAACCTCCCTCCCTTAACTCATTACACCGGACCTTACCGCAAGATTCGACTTCTTTGTCATTTTGACTTTGGCGTGGAACCTGTCCTGTGAGCGCGGTGCAGAAGAGCCCCTTGCAGAGCCCCTTGCGCACGAAATATCGTCATCATCATACATGTCATCAGATGCTTCCTGTAAAAAAAATTAAAAATCTTGCCATATTTAGTAATCCATACCATACAGACCTTCTGCATTCCGCAACAACCTTTCTCAAATTATTAATTAGACAACCATGTTAACAACAGCAGGCATGCAACTGGGAATTTAGAAAACGAGGAAACTCCAAACCAAACTAGAGTTTGTGTACAGTGTTTTTCAATTTGTAATGGCATTCATGAGAAGTGCATGAGAAGTGGTCTACTCCTGCATATATCCATGTGCAACTTAAGCATGTAACTCACAGATGACTGCAATGCAAAGGGTGTATATTGAACACAGCATCAAGGATCTGAAATTGTTATTCATGGTTTATATTCAAAATGTGATCTATTTTTCTCATACAAATTCCAACGGCACTTTGTACACAGCCCTGTGGGTCATCAACACTGCGTAAAATTCACACTGGCAGACTACTTAATATGCATGCATTTATCAGATATTTGTTTATCGTCAGTGGACAGTTGATTTACCTCATCTAGCATGTCGTACAGTTCTTGTGCAGGTGCTTCGTACGCGCAAGCTGACTCAGACTGTTGATTAGTTTTAGCTGCCCGGGCCATCACACGCTGATTGGAAATCCTAAAGTGCACAGGAAACACTCAGGTTGTCAATGAACAAATATATGTACATGTATATAAGATTTGAGGCTTTGCATGGTGGAGTATCAGTATCGTTTCAGTTTGCAGTAACACCATGCGGTAATAACTGCTGTCGCTCAGTAGATATTTAGTTCTAATAAGAACTTGTCCTGCTTGTTATCAACTTAAGATAGTTAGTTCTGATAAGAACTTGTCCTGCTTGTTATCAACTTCTGCTTGTTATCAACAAGTAGTTTTAGTTCTGATAAGAACAGTCCTACTGAGCGACAGAAGTTATTAATAGCGACAGTAGTTATTAACACATGGTGCTACCGCAAACCGAAACAATACATGTTTGTCTTGCTTCACAAAAAGACTTATAGAAGATACTTGCACAACAGTTTATTTGTTCACACTTATCCCAAAATGAGAGGGCCAGTGTATAGTCCTCTTTGAACCTGACTGACTGACCGTCTCACTATCACTTGGGACTTGGACTGGTTGTAGGCTGGTCAAGAGAATAGGGCCCCATTTCATGGGGCTGCTAAGCACACGATGTTCTGCTAACAGAGCCTCTGTCTATTTCATGGAGAACTAAAGCAGTAAGCACAGCAAAAGGCACGCTTACCTCAGAGGAAAAATTTGCTTAACTTTGTGACGGAACAATAGAAATCGCCATGCGCGCGCGAACGTTAGCACATACAGGCTGTGAAATAGTGCTCCAGGTTAGATTTGTGTGCTATGGTTAGCACAAAACTTGGCTTAGCAGTATAAGCAGCGCCATGAAATTGGCCCCTGGGCAGTGCTATCTCACATGATTACCCGTAACGCCAATGAGCGAAGGGTGCTGAACAACTAACCTGATGTAGTTTTAGCTTAGAGAATGCTGTTTATTCCGAGAAAACAATATCCTAGGATCTCGATTTCAAATCAAAGTTGCTGAGTCCTGTTTTGAATTGGGCCTTAATTCAGCGTCCGAGACACTTTCTTGCTGAGCTGATTGCAGCTACGCGATGTTGGGCACTGAACCAATGAATTATAGCAACTGTGCATGCCTGTGCGTCATGTCAACGCTTGCGTGCACTTTGCTGAATTAAATACGCACTACCACAGACATTTCCCACAATGCGTCTTTAGACGCATTGTTTGAAAAGCCTTCTTTCATTGATTTTTTCAAAATGACAGCTTGCCAGAGAGAATAATTTCACGGGGAGATTAGTCCCATTACTATCGTTAAATCAAGTAAGCTATTCAACAATGATTACGTCAGTTACTTAGCTGCAAATGATGGACTGTACCTTTAAGAGTGTATAGAAACATGTCTCTGAATCACTGAGCAATGTTACTTACAGGTGAAGTCGTGCTCTCTGGGTGTCCTTCTGTTCAGCGAATGCTGCTGCCTTCTGCATGGCAGCTACTGAAGTAACGGCAACGTTCATATTCTGCAAGAAATAGAACAGTGTAACAGTCACACCACTGCAAGGATCTCAAATCTAAAAAGTAAAAGAGTGCAATTTTCTGGAAAAATCATATCAACAAGATTTTGCATCAGAAAATGGAACTGCATGGCTACCGGAAGATCTTTGAGAATAGATAACAGTGAAGATTTCCTTCCGTAGCCTTGTGGCATAATAGTCTGAGTATCACCCGTTATCCACGGAGCCAAGTCTCCTGTATAACATCTGATATATCAAAGCATGCAGATGTATGCGATCTTGTGCCTCAGCAAATCAGAGTCGACTTTACTAAATCATGACGTCATTTCATTCCCTCGGGACTAAATGTGTGATTAGTCAATTCGAATGCAGTGTTTTGTAATACAACAGCCTACGCAAATGGCGTAACATAATACAGCCTTTGTTGCTGTCTAGGCTATTTTTTTTTATCGATGTCTATGACGCGACAATGGTGAATGACCAAAGACCCGACATAGAAAGCACCCGCTGATTGGTCAAAATCTAGAGGTCAAGATGCAGTTGTCTTGCATAATTAATCAGCGAATCTGCCAAAAATTATAGACCATGGGGAAAATATTTCAAAGACTATGTGGCATATGAGACACACTGTATTACTCAACTTTGCAATCGCGCTCTCGTGGAATACCTCAAGGGCCCCTGTGAGTGTAATGCGGTGCTGAGATTTGGTTTACACAATCGTACGAAGGATCTTTTTCTTAAAAGCAAACAAAATTGTTCAAAATCGTAGGGTGCATACAAACTAACCTGTTGAAGTTTCAGCTCAGTGAATATTATATGTTTTAAGAAAACAGAGAAAGCGGTGCTCATAAATGGATTCCACTGCTAACGCACGTAAGAAAGTGTGCCGGGACACTCATTGTGAAACTGCCCTCAAGTCCAATGTTCATTTTCTTTCAAACGATACCATTTTAGGTGGAATAGTTTACACAGGGTATTTCATACCAGTCCCGTCTTCACTTTCAGCAAGGTTTCTGTTCTTAACCAGTTCACGCCGGGATTATTTCCACAAGAACATAATGAGGCACAGAATTACTTTTCACTCAACCTCCGATAAGCCAGGCGGGTTAAACCCATCACCCTCGGGCAGCACATTCATATTTCCAGCCTTGCTTGCTGCGAGTGGGTCACTGACAGATATATCCGGCTCCGCTCCCTGCGAATTTACCTGTCATCCGTTCCGAATACCGCAAAACTTTTGCATGTATACACGGCCTCCGGCACAAACTTGATAAGTCATTTTTCGGGTAATTGCAAATGTTTTTAGGTGGCTTTAACAGATACCAGAAATACGTCTGTTTTTAAAATGAAATTCAAATTTCGTAAGTGTTATAAAGTGCTGGAATTTCACATATTTCCGATATTGAAGAAGGAACAAAATTTTGCCAAGATATGTACCTCTTCCATCTGTTGTCGGTCAGCTGTGGTCTCACGCTGCTCTGTGACAATGCGAAGGAAACGGCGACCATCCGACTTGGTGTACTTGATCTGGACCTATGGAAGTTAAAGGAGAAAAAGATCAAGAACATTGACCGGATATTAAAGGATGACAATACAGCTGGATGTACATCATCATCATGGCCATAAACGTTGGAGTCAACGATAGGAGAATTGACGTGGAAAAGGAAAGTGTGTAGGTGAACTCTGCGGGTGGGGCCTTCAATTCTCAGGGCAAAAAAAGTGTTAAAAAGTGCCCGCATTCCTTTGCAGCTGGAACTGGATGTCTGATGTCTACGTTCCCTCCTCTTGACACAACAGTTGATGTAGGTCTGCACAGACACATGCCATCTGCGATATACAAAGTGCATTCCACCATTTGGGATCGTCATGCGCTGTTTCTTCCCAAGATGAACGAGGTATGCCAAATACTTTTCATTACGTTTAATACGTCTCGTTTCAGCATGCAAAATGCATTTTGAGGCGACCACGGGGACGAGGGGAATCAGCAAGCTGACCATTAAGTAGATTTTCAAAAGGTTTGTGTCATGCCACAAATGTTGCTTGGCAGAATAATGGCACAAACATTACAAAATTATGAAATTCTTGTTATGACTTGGTCTCTGTGCATGAACAGGGGTTGGCATTTTGTGGCCACTTTGTGAGAGCCCAGTGGGAAGGACCCAGCTATGCAGGTCCCGATTCGCACGTGCATTGCGCAAAGTACGCACGACTACTTTTAAACTGAAACTGCACAAAATGTATCTGTATACATATCAGGCACGACACACAATCAATGCCTTTATAAATATCCCTCCTTATAGTGTCCCACTTACTCTCCATTTGTTAACTATTTAGGAGGTACTTGTGCACGGAACTGGGGATCGTGACAAACAACCACAACTGTTTTTTGCAGCTTTTTTTCTTTTACTTACCTGGAATGGCAGTTTGGTCAAGTCTGAAATGTCAGCTTCCGGACGCAGCTGGAAACTGAAGGTCAGGTCAGTAGACTGCTGAACGTTACCATAGTTCTTGAAAATCTTACTCTTCCCTGCAGCCTGCATGGTTTGAGATCAACACAACATGTGTTCTGTAAATTTATGTTACATGGATGTTACTCTGGACTCTACAGCTCATTTGGTGATGAAAAAGCAAAAGCTACTGGCACATGAACTCAGACGCAACATCAAGTGTAAAAGTCTGTGGAACCAAGTTGCACACTGAGCTATCACGGCCACTGCATAAATGGCCAATTCTGAGATAAAGGGTCTCACTGAACAATGCCAGAGTTGTATCCTGCTGCAGTGGGTGACCACAGACTCTGAGGCAGTTTGGCCCTGAGATTTTTTACCTGATGGATCTTGCTACACTAAGAGGGCTTGTCATTTTGACTGCTTTTAGCAGGGTTTTTATAGCCAGAACACCCTATAGCTAGGGGGTTAGTGCTACTGAACAGTGACAAGGCATTCCTTGGTCATCATGAAATGTGACTGACTCTTGGTTGACTTATGACTGACTGGACTCTGGTTTAAGACTTACCTCCGGTCCTTCGGTCTCGGGGTCAAACTGCAGGGTTGGGTGCAGCATGAGGGTGACCGCCACGTTGGTGGCAACCACCTTGTCCTGTCCCAGCTGGCGGATCTGTCGCGTCAGCTCGTGGGGGTTCAGGATGTTGATGGTCCCCGAGGAGATAGACACGCACTTGCTGACTTGTTCAAAGTCGCAGTGGCTGTCTGTCTGTATACCGATGATGGATATGGTAGTCTGTTGCTGCTCAGCTATACGGCCCGCCTGGTCAACAAATTACAAAACAAAACAAAATTCCGAGTTTTCAAGTTGTAAATAAACAAAAAACATTAAGGCTGAATCTGAATATCTTGTCTACAGAGCTATCATCTAGGTCATCAACAATAACAAGTAAGTGTGGAGTGCCATGGCCTTGTTATTCTCTCATAATCTGTGGGCGAGGCATTACAAAACAACTACTGAATACTTTCACTCATGGGGTTGTCACACTAGCATCACTTGGGTATCCATGGAGCATTCCTCTTCCCTCGCCTTCGCTACAGTGAAAAAAAACGAAACACTCCTTGGATCACCACAGGAGGCTACTTTTACCACATCTCTCAAAGCAGTATTGTAATCTATAGGCCATCATCCTCGGTCCAAAATTTTGGCCACCGGTATCAAATGGGGGGGGGGGGGGGGGGGGGAAAATAATCGTCATTGCGATTTTTGGCAAGGTATACACCTCCGGAGTTGGAAAATATGTGATAGCATAGCAGCGGTGGCAGCTTTTGGGTGTTATCACCCTTTTTCTCAAAATGTCAATCAAAATGCTTGTTACCACACTAGGGGCGATATACCTTGTGCATGCTCACTATAATCATTTATGCCCTGATTTGATACTGACTAAACCCCAGGCTGATGGCCTACTAGCTCTGTGTATTTAATACCTCGTTGTAGAAATTGGAGTCGTAGCTATGTCGCTGCAGAGATCCCACTCCCTCGTTAGGCATGCCATCGGTGCACAGCACAATCTCAGATCCTGGTAGTTTGGCAAGGAGTCCCAGGCTGACCGCCAAGGCTGGGCCCAAGGCCGTAGAACCACCCTCACTGAGACTGTCAACTTTAGTCTTCAGACAGCTGTGAGATTAAATAAACAAGAGAAACCGCAGATTTCTTTAAAATGGTGTTCATTTCTGCCGAATTTGTCAAAAAATAGCTTTTCCAGCAGCACTTTATTTGTGTCATGTACACAAACTTCCGATTTGGTGGTCTTCATTCTCAGCTGTGCGTTCAACGTAACCAGAGATCCTTTTGTTGCATGGTGCCACTTTCAGAACTCAACCCAATTTCTACCTGGGTCACATGGGTATGTGACCTGTCATCTCGAAAGTCGGAAAATGCCATTTTGTTCTACATTGGGACAAAGCAAAACTTTGAAGGGGAGGTCAATTTTTAGTTTTAAGGTGGACCTCCTATTCTAACTTTCCCATTGCTTTTGTTCGCTCAAACATCTTTATCTATTTTCATCCTGTTCAATACGTGTAAGTTGACTGTTCATGCACTGAAATACAACAGCAGAATTTTTAAAAAGTCCCACTTTAAGCTCAGTTTGTAGGGACGGGTCACATTCTACACATTTTGAGTACAAAGTGTCACATTCTTCCTGTTCCTGTTAACTTGGTACCTTGGACTTTGCCATTCCAGTACTATTACGAACGACTTGAAACAAATTTTGTCATAATCACTCTTTGAGGACGACTGCATTAACTCTTTCAGTGCCAAAGTCGTACAAGTACAAGGTATATTTGTTAGTTCAACAGTGCCAACCTCATACATATATGAGGTAATGTTTGTACTTAAAATCGCCAAACCTTGTACATGTACGAGGTAGAGTACGCATGTTATCTCAAGGGGGCGCTCTCGCTCTTTCTAATAATATCATTTTCATTCAGGTACAGCCTATATTTATTGTTTTATTCAAGTTCTTGCGAGAGGGCCCAGCACTGACACTCATATTTTCTGCAAAAGTGCGGAATTCCCCTGTGTGTAGGACAGTGTTTCAGGGTGTAGCACTATGTACGTGACTACTATTGACTTTCCAATATACCAAGGATATACCAGAGAGCAACAACAACAAATTTAGTGAGTAAAACATATTTACTTTTTTTTTTTACAGAATTTTGAACAATTACAAAAAACGCTTGAAATTGGGCACTTTAGGGTTAAACTTTTCAAATTTCGCGGGCACTGAAAGAGTTAAGAAGTGCATCAGAATTATAAAATCATGCATGTACATGTCAGTTATAGCAAGGCCGGGGGAAAAAAAGTGGACCCCGATTTTATAGAATGACACATATGCGGATGCGGACGCATGCACACAGATTTCTACAGATCTTTTTTGCTTATACAAACATGGTGATTGAATTGAGCTGTCTGATCTGACCTGGCTGATTCAGTGAGTGGCTTTATGTTCAGCAGAGCAGCCAGCTCCTGGCCCTCTCTCAGCAGGACGTCCAGCTGGTTCAGCTTCTGACCGGTGACTGTCGTGGGCAGCTGACTGCCGTCGCCGTGAACCTTGACCTCATGGCTGAAGTTCACCAGGATGACCTTCTTGTCGGGGTGCTCCAGCTCGTAGCGTTCCAGCTGCCTGCAAGAATCAAAACGTAATAAACTGAAGCACTGAATGTGATAATCCATGCTATTTTTGAAGTTTCATTCCCCCTAAAAGGATTTTTTAAAAGATAACTTGAACTTGGTTTTCAAAAAGATGGATCCTTTTTACTGCACTCTGCACAAACTGCATGCTCAAAAACAAAGACACAAATTTTCTATCGTTGACTCAAAATGCCACTGACACTTCACTGAAGCACGGGTGTCAAGTTTTTTTCTAGAAATTGTTTAATAAACTGGCAGGCATTTCAACAATCTGGCAACGAATTACAGGTCTGGAACCCTACCTGGTGACTGCCATTTTCATGCAATCCAGCCTTGATACGTATTTGGGACCACCCCCACCTATTCCCTGCACAGCCATCCATTCAGCTAAAGTGTAAAAAAAGAAAAGAATCAGAAATAGCATTAATGCAAAAATCACTGATTAAAGGCAGCACTTGAATATTAGGTGGCATATGTACTTTTACTTTACCTCAAATTTCTTTAAATGGGGCTGCACAATTTCTAAGTTGCTAAGTTTAAAATCCTGTCAGTAAAATATTGGTACCTTTACTGGTAATTTAGTGACAAAAAAGACACCTGATGAAGAATTTTCAAGAGTCCGAAAATGGAGTCTGAAAATTAATATAAGGTGGCTTCTAAAAATTGGGCACAAATTCGGGCAGACTGGCAGAGGGTTGCCTAAATTGACGCACTTGAACAAATTCCTGAAATTCTGAAGTTAGCATGAAGGAATTGCTTTTCACGAATTTCCAACTATCACTCGCATTATCTGAGAACTAAAACAAAAACTGTTGTAAAAGTTTTGCTCTGGAAAGGCACTCACGGGGAAAAATCAAAGGGCGGGGGGGGGGGGGGGGGGGGGGGGGGGGGGGGGGGGGGTGGGGGGGGGCAGTCCTTCTGATTTGAAAATCACAGGTGTGTGGAGAAGGGCATACCCGGATTTTTCTAGGCGTGTGATTTTCTAGGCGTGTGATTCTGTGGTCAAAGCTGGGACTGGTATATTTTTTATGATATTCATCTTGGTTTTTTTTTCTCTTCACCGTATATGAAGAATAATTATGTCGTAAATGTATGCCGTGGTGTGCGGTACTGAGGGATTCAGGCGTGCGATTATTCGCTGGAAGTTTTAGGCGTGCGATGGCGTGGGGGTGCGATCACACGCCTCAAATCAGAAGGACTGGGGCGGGGTGCAACTTTATTTGAAAATTCAACATGTAAAGGCCTGGAATGTTATCGTTTTTTATAATCACAAAGTCTGTGTACTAACACTGCAGGGCCGAGATTTGTGTAGTAGAGGACATGGATCCACTGGTGTCAATGCAATACACCACGGTGCCAGTGCCAGACAGGCTGGCTTTGGCATCACCCTCAGCAGCAGCAGCCTTGGCTGGGGCTGCCTCCATAAGATAGTCCACACTCTTCTCCTTGGGAATCTAGAAAGGAGAGATTCAGTGGTTTTTTTTTTATCTAAAGGTACATAGGAACTAAGGTTGTGACTTTGTGTTTTGAAATCGTTAAGCAAATGTTTTAAACACCGTTTAAACGTTAGCCACATCCAAAAGGTTCCATTCTGTCTGCAGACCGGCTTGATTGACATGGTAAATCAACAATGATCGACATAATAAATAGCAGGCAGTCATTGAAAAAGTGAAAACTTAACTACATGTAGCCCGAAGGTAACCAAACACTTCAGTGCTTCTAAGGTTTTGTGAATTAACCACGTTTGAAAACATCATAAATTATTTCTGCTATGTATGTTTATTAAACCCAAAGGAAGATCGAGTGAAGGTATGTTCAATTTTTATAATTTGGGTTTAGTTGAGATGTTTTGGAAAATTTGTAGAAGAATTTAGAATTTTGTTTCTCTTTAAACCTGACTTTGAATGCTCCTCCCTTGTTCTTTAGTATACGTTTTCATACCCATATTTGCAGGAATTCTTAATATCGATACTGGGTTTTTGTCCTCCAGTATGTAATTTTATAAGCACTGTGTACTACACTAAGTACAGTCAAAAAGCTTACCAAAAGAAATCACGTCTATATTCATAAAAGGCATAACCCAATATGTGGACCTTTCATGCTTGCCAATCAAACAGTGCAAATTGACCAATTGGATTTTGACTTTCGGTCAGGTGACCACGGTAGCTGAGTTGCACTCCATCACAAGCACTGTGAGAAATGCACACAAACCAAAGGTGGGCGGGGCGGGACGGGGCCGGGGGGGGGGGGGGGGCAGTTGCTTGGCCTATGGCCTAATCTGGAAGGTTCCACCACATGACATTCCCTTCCACTGTATGACTCATTTTTAACAAAGACAGGAATTACGGAAGCCAAATCCTCACCTCTTCTTCCACAACATCCAATCCCTCATTGATGTGGCCGCAAAACTCACTGGAAAAAAAAAGTCAAAGAAAAGTAGTTGTCATCTTATAGGTAACGAAAAAAAACCTCCAAAAGCGAGCGGAAACTCAAACATGAGATTATGCATGGCAAGTATTTGCACTGTAAATTCGCAAAAGCTGAACACATTTCAACTTCGAATTCGAATTTCGCTGCAAATGTTTCCTGACGTCAATTTTCTTCTCACTCGCATTCCAATAGCGTGAAGCATGAACTGGCCATGTGTTGATGTACCTACCATTTCCACTTTCTGTTGCTATCTCCATCCGCCTCAGCTTGATCCAGCTTAGAGACATGGGAAAGCACGGACTGGCATTCACTGTGTGCAAGAACCACAAAATACCAATGTTCAAGACAAATGATCATGAGTTCTATCTGGAGATGTCACATATCTACGAAAACGTTTCAGGCCGTTTATTTTGTGAAGGGAGTGTACAGGGAGTGAAATACTATGCAGTATGGTCACTCCATAAATTTGGGGTCCACAAGCGTGACATTTTTGTGTGTCCCTGTTACACCTGACCTGTGTAATTTGCCATTCAAGTATTAAAATTGACTTCACACTATTTTGTATTTGTTTGGCAGGTACTTTTAAACATAATCATTCTTGGAGATAGAAGACATTAAAGAATGCGTCCTGAATTACAAAATCTTATACATGTCAAATGACACAAAAAATTTGACCCCACATTAAAGATATAGTCCATCATTTGTAATTTGTGCATTTTGTTCGTTTGAAGCAACAAAAGTGTTCAAAATCTAATGAAAGATACTGAACAACTAACCTGATGAAGGTTCAGCTCAGCTTTAGCTGTATATTTCGTGAAAAACAACATTCGAGGATCTCAATTTCAAATCAAAAGTTGCTGAATCATGTTTTGAATTGTTTTGAATTGCAGCAATACGCGATGTCGCGCACTGATCCGATGAATTATAGCAACCGCGCGCGCCTATGCCTCGTGCCAATGCTTGCGCGCGCTGCGCCGAATAACAAAACGAACTACTAATCTAAATTTTCCAACGGTGCGTCTTAAGACGCACTGTTGGAAAGGCCTTCTTTCATTGATTACTTCAAAATGACAGCTTGCCAGAAAGATTAATTTCACAGGGAGTTTAGTCCCCTTACTATCTTTCAACCAAGTATGTTTTTCAACAATAATTACGCCAGTTACTTTTTCGGATGGCTGCAAATGATGGACTATAGCTTTAATGGAATGACCGATAAATGTATGTGCACAAGTACCCCTTCATATGGAGAGTTGTGGGAGACCACTGGGAGTGAGTGGCACTCAAACGCATCACTATTGGCACCTGACTTTCACCGTACACGCTGTTGGTTTGTGCACACTTAGAATAGGATTAGTCATGCATACTTCCTGCAGTATCGAGGCATTACACCATTGCGATTAATTACTCACCTGCAGTGAATTGGATCCCCAGTCACCACCGTGGGCTCATTCTCAAGGGTGCCCAGGGGCAGCAAGACAATGTTGGAGTCTGCCTTGCGGTACGCCATCTTCTTAGACTTCTCGGCCGACCTGTCGGCTGACCTGTCGGCCATCTTTTTACGAGGAGGAAGTGCAACGCCATGCAGTTGTTGTTGCTGCTGAACGACATTCTTGTTCAAGCTTTTACGGCCAAAGAGGGAGTCAATGAAGCCTTTCCTCTTGGGAACAGGGGGAGCTGACATATGTGGGGAAAGAAAGACAGGTGGAGTTGACAACCTTTTTGGCAGACAACAACATGTGCTGCAAAGTCTGCACTCCGATACATCCGTTTTGTTTGTTTTCCATCTGGAAAGCTTTCATTGTGAACAAAGCCTACCACACCTTCATAGAAAGGGAAATAATGCATTTTTTCTAAATTCCCTTGGATTCAGTTCGTTGAACTGAATTTTTCACAAGGTCTCTATTGCCTGTTTGAGGTAAGTCAGACCAAAACCTTGAATGAGACCAAGCCCAGTGAGTTATCGAGAGTCAATATGGAGATTTGAGGTGACACCTTTGTACAAGTTGTATTTTTAACAGAAGGCTCTATCCTTCAAATTTTATCGAATTGAAGTCAATGAAGATATTGGCAGAGTACCGGCATTCTAAGTGCAACTTTACGGCACCGCATGAGAGCACAAAACTTTCACTCAGTACATTCTTCTACGTAACTTGAGAACAGTCTAGGTATCTTGGACTTGCTTCAGCCTATGTACATCACAATTTTCGCACTAATGCTAACCGATCAGCAGACAAATTTGGCCATCCTTGTTTATTTGTGGTATGCCAAATCCTACGTAAAGCACAGTCAGTTTACTAGTGCAGTACTCATCCTAACAGATTCCAACAAACCCTGGTGTTTGGCGGGTTGGGGATCGTTAGGGTTATACCCATTGGTACCTGTACCAGCCCAAAGCGCCCTGCCTGTTACTCCTTATACCACCCCAAAGCGCCCTGCCTGTTACTCCTTATACCACCCCAAAGCACTCTGTTGTTTTATGGACTCATCAAGGTGTTAACACCAGTAAGCTCTGTACACCTACCTGACTGAGAGGCCTGTGGCAGAGCTGGCTTAGGCGCCTCAGCTTTGAGCATCTCAGCTGGAATGTTATCCACCACCACCTGCTTCATGTACGAGTCCTCAATCGTCGGGTCGTAGTCTGTCACAAATTGATCGCTGACGAAACGGACTGTGATGGCCGACTTACCCACCCCACCAGCTCCCAGAACTATCACCTGAAGAACGACCAAGTAAAGAAGTCATGCAGCACTTTGTATTTTTCATGTCATTTGATATAAGTTACCAAACTCTGACAGTTAAGAGGGAGCCAGTACGGCAGATAGGTGATGGGATTGTGCCTTTGGTGATACAAGCCTGGCATGTAGCACAGTCAGAGTATGTCATGAGAAAGATATTTGGCTATAGTCCATCGCAGATTTGTAGCTTGCAAAAATACTATGTGTGCCAAAAGCCATGCTTGAATCATCAAAGGCACAATTCCCCAAAATTCATCAAAGGCACAATTCCCCTTTTTGTGCCGAGTCTTTCTGATTTAGTCAAAATCCAACACAGTGTATTAGCCGAATGAAACATTCTTTGCATACACACATGTACCAGACTGAAAAATTGAGCCAAAATGATATATAATGCTGGCGAAATGACGCAGTCCCCAAACCACCAAAATGCTGTTAAACTTGGATGAAGGAATTGGTGGATTTGGAGTATTAAAGTCAGTAAAGTCTGTCTCAAGTCAATATGACTCACTACTGTTTAGCTCTGGTTACATGTAACTACCAGTAGGAATATTTTTTTTCCCACCTGGATGGGATGCAACTCGGGTTACTCTCCAGTCTGCTAGTTCATACTGTAGAAAGGAGTACGGACAAACAATGGCAAGCAGCTACTTTCATATGACCTTCTGAGAGGTAAAAGGTAAATGCAACGAACCTGTGTTCACAGGATGGGAGTGCCCATCTCTCTTTCTTAAGCAATTGGGCCAGACTCATATGCTGCTGTGGGGGATCGCCACATCTCCTCCACAGCGAGTCTGTTACCTTCCCAGCATTGGATAATGCCGGTACCCATTTAACACCTGGGTTGAGAGGAGTAATTGAGGTAAAGCGCCTCACTCAAGGGCACAACACACATAGCCACGGCGGGGCTCAAACCCATGCCACAACCTCACGATCATGAATCCTGTGCTCAACTGCTAGACCACACGTGACCCACTGAACGCGAGCCGCAAACCCTTACCAGTAAGCCACACTTCCCACTCTCCAATTTAGGGTTGGCCAGGCATTCCAAAACTTTTAATGAATCTATTTAAGGACTGCTCACCGTTTTTTGGGGGCAAGTCTAGTGTCTACATGTACTTTGTATCTGACAGACTCGGATTGACAAACTGACTCACTGTAACTTGTCAGCTGGACAGTGCTATAAATCTGGCCCGCTGTGTCGACCAGATGCGTTTAAACATTTCTAGTGAATAGCCACCGAGAGTTTGCCATGGAGAGTCCATTTTTCAAGTTAATGGTCGACAAAACACGGCCCATTTGAATGAGTGTCAGTAGATAACTTGAGCTAATTTGTTATAGATTGGGGCATAGAGTTCTGCACATGTACCTTATAGGTGGTCCCGGTCCGTGGTGTGCAACGCACCAAGGCATGGAAACTCTCCTTAACGTTGTCTCCGGTTTTAGCTGATGTCTCCATAAACGCCATATTGTTATCCTTGGCTAGCTTCTCAGCTTCATCTGTTGGGACTTCCCTCACATCTGCCAGATCAGATTTGTTGCCACACAGGATCTGAAAAAAGGTAGTTGTCGTACATTTACTCAACATATTCAGTTAACCCGGGAGGGGGGGGGGGGGGGGGGGGGGGGGAGAGAGAATGCAATTCACACCTGCGTCCAACATACATGTACCACTCCACCATAAGTCTCACAGCATATGGGAAACGGACGCACTACATTATCACGTGTTCGACTCCTGCAGGATAAATATTTAAAAAATATAAGTATACAGCTGTACATGTTGGTAAAAGGTTCAGCATTCCTAAACCCAACTGCTACATGTATCTACAAACGTTGGACACAAGATTTCTGTAGATCTCTACTCCATATTCTTTGGAGTTACAGCTGTGTTGAATAGATGGGCAAATATAAAGTTGAAACCACGGCATTAAAAATTAGTATCTATTCAATTTTTTGACACTTTCGATGTGCACTTTCACGGGGCATCAAGCCCCATGGATATAAAGTAATAGTGGCTGTCTCGATAATCTTCCTCATATCCTGATATGAGGAAGATTTGAAGAAGATTTGAGGAAGAACAATCTTGATATAAGAATCAATCCTGATATGAAGAAGAACAATCTGGGAGCTAGGGTTAGGGTTTAATGGAAATAAGATACATACTGCGGGCATCTTGTCGACTTGTCTCAAACGCAGGACCCATTTGTAGATGTTGACAGCTTCTTCAAAGGATTTCCTGTTATCGATGGCGTATATAATCATACAGCAATTCCCACTGCGAACATACTGCAGGACAAAAGAAATAACATTTTAAAAAAAAGACCGCATTGTATCAATTAAAGAAGGTCTGATTTTAAGGAGTTATTCATGTCAGCTACATGTACATGTTTGCAATCGCTGTCTGCTGCAATGTAGTCCACATGTGGCATTCTGTGCGCTCGAGGGCCAGTTAATGCCACCCGAGGTGAAGCTGAGGGGGTCCCAATTTCCCCTGAGGTTGTACAGAACCCATTGACTATATCACAACAGACAACAATTGTTTTGTTATATCACAACAGGCAACAGTTATTTTGTAAAATCACTATCATGCTCCTTGCTCTATGATTCTTTTCTCTGTTTTGTACCCGTATGCGTTTTCATTGAGCAGTCCAATGCTTCAGTCTTGATATACACGCACACGGAACCAAATTGTACCGGGGTACATGACCTATCTTGCATGTGTGCAGGGTTTATTTTACAATGTAATTATAAGTATGTTGAAGAAAGTAGCTGAGGAACAGAAATATTCAAAAGTATTTGAGAACCATCAAGCTTATTTTCGCAAGTGACTAAATTAGGTCGTCAACTATGAACATCTGAAACACAAACACGAACAGTTTTCATCCAATCAGAGTTGTATTGACTCGAGCCAATGACTCGACTCGAGTCACAATTTTTGGTGACTCGACTCGACTCAAGTCCCCAAGGGCAAATGACTCGACTGGACTTAAATCACTGCGAGCAAATGACTCAACTTCACTCGAGTCCCTCATCAGAATGACTCGACTCGACTCGAGGAAGGCTAATACATGTAAGACTGGAGTCCCAAAAATATAAGCAAAACTTTGAGAAAAATATTTGCAATGACTTACGCCAGTGCCGTTTTTTGTTCACGTCACGTTAGAATGTTCGGGAATAATGTAACATACGTGGTTTGATCAGTGTCCCCATTAGTTGAATGTTGATCACCCCCTTTTTATTTTCATTAAGAGTCAAATGTGGTGTCACCACATCTAGTAGCTCGAATGTAAAATTAGAAAAGCCAACAAAATTACTTTCTCTCTTGGGTGTATTAAGTGTTTAAATATTTGTGACGCGAATTGACTCGAGCTAAATACTTGACTCAACTCAACACTACTACATGTAAACACTGTGACTCGACTCGACCTTCTTGATGTAATGACTCGACTGGACTCGAATCACAAAAATCAGTGACTCATTACAACTCTGCATCCTATGAAATATACAACAATCTTATACCACGGTTTAACAAGCACGTTATCGTTTATCCAAGGCACTGACAAATGACTGATAGGCAAATGACATCCAGACAATTAGCCAGGAGTTTCCATATGTGCCCTTATGCATGTCACACCGTATTCATTAAAGACCACACGTTTAAATTGTGTTAGAATGTGTGAGTTTCAAATCTTACCTGTTCCCTCATTGATGAGAACTCTTCCTGGCCTGCAGTATCCAAAATGTCCAGCATGCATGTCTGAAAAAGTATTTTTAAAATGACATTAATGGGGCTACACAAGCGATGTATTGTAAAATAGTAAAATCTACAACTCAATTTTTTACATAAACATGAATCATACAATTTTCAGTAAACTTTCAGAAGAAAAATTAAACACACGTTACAATTTTCAAACTTAGCGCCTCCCCCCCCCTACAATCCATACCTAAAAAAAAATAATCGTCAAATAAACCAGAATGGGAAACTGACTTGGTACATAAATATAAAGAAATTGCTTGGAGTGGGGTTTGAATATGCGACCTCCGGAAAACCGTACATTGTAGCTTTCTTGGCGGTTCCCTAGTTTGTCAATGTCTTTGTTCCAGAGGTCACAATTCAAATCCCGCTGGAGTAAATTTCTCTGTTCAGATTCATAGTAAACATGGTAAAAACAGCAAAATACATTTTCAAAGTAACATGACCAGGAGGATGTTCAAACAAAAAAAACGTAACATTCCATTTTTGGTTTGGTTTCTTCTGGTGAGCAATTCATTTCCGTGGACATGAATGAGTCAAAGGAGATTAAACTGAAATAGAAACCCAAAATAACATGGACTTGCAAATATTATCCATGTTATGATGTGTCATTTGTATTTCTGCATGCTCTGACTAAAAAATAGCATATAGATGCCCTAATGAAAAAGTATTTTATACTTTCTGCTTAAATACCTTTTGCAACCGGTATGACATGTATGATGAAACGATTGTTTTACAATGTTTTAAAACACTTCTTGTTTCACTCAATTGATCACACCAGGACATGCAGGAACTACAATTACAAAATAAACAACGTTCGCAAACAAATCCCAATCGAGACCTAGATTGTGGTTCGGATGAAAATTAAAATGCCGCGAGGCTTAAGTCAAATTTAAATGTAATTTTGAGCGGGAACATCTACACAACTAACGACCTAACCAACATCGAGCGTGGAATTTTTTTAGCGCTACACACGGCAGCATTCTTAGAAATCTCGAATGTCATGCACTTTCAGTCACTATCTCGAACATCATCATAAGTCCGTATAATAACATGTTCGGCCCCAATTTTTAAATTTTTTTATTTCGTTTTATGCAGCCAGACCCACACTTTTACAGGTTATTTTTAACGGCTGAAAGGTAGGAGACCTGCCAAATATGCATACAGTTGGGGTGTTCTAAAACACTACTACTGAATGAAGAGATTGGTGTTTTGTTAATCATTTTTCGTCAATTTTATACCATTTTTCATTTTCAGGAACAACATAAACCCAAATTACCTTGTAGATCTCTAGATAGCAGTTCAAAATTATGCACAGTCTTTAATAAGGTGACGTCACATGACCAATGATGACGTGATCAGGATGTCACCTGTTTAGGACCAAATTTAGCTAATCTGACCAAAGAACCATATTAACCCTTACTCGATCCCTAGGCTTGTTAGCTAGGATTGCCTCAATCCTGCAAAATCCTCCAATTGGCCTCATGGAAAAATAGCATGCCTCAATCCTGCAAAATCCTCCATTATTTCTTGAATATGGTCCATGGAGGGTTGACAACTGCCTGCGGCAGTGACTGTCAATATTTTGAGGCTTGACCAGTAACATCCTGGAGCAGTACCGAGGACTTCAAGCATAATCCAGGCCTATATTTATGCATGGCTGAGCAAAAAAAAAACACAGGGTCCGGCCCAAGACCTTGACAAAGTCCATCTTACGAAATCAGTAATGCACTTTTGCCAAGTACCCTTAATCCTCCAAATTCCTCCACTTTGGCAAAGAGGATTTTGAAGGATTCAGGGCAGTTAGGGTTAACCAAAGAAATTAATAAAATGTGTTGCGGGTAAACATTAATCCAATGTGGACATGGCTTAGCGATAAAACATACATGTACCTTGCCATCATCAGCAGCGACTGATGAGGAAGTCTTGAGACCCAGGGCCAAGTCCTCAGTTGTGTAGACTTCATCCTCATCATCCTCAATCGCTGCCTGTGGGGCATTTGCCTCTTCTCTCTTGGCCCGCTTCTTCATGTACACAAACTTGCCTCCAAACTCCATCTTGACTGCTTATGGACTTCAAATTCAAACCTGTGCAGCAAAGAATTAATGTTACTTTCTTTTAAAAATAATAATTTCATACCTTCGTGTACTAAGAACACCTTCTGGGCTCTGTGCGTCAACGGTAAGAAAGGGAGAGTTGGGGGAGAACACTACATTTGCAGGAGGGACATTCGAAGGCATTGCCAATGACACCTGATGCTCATGCGAAGACCGGCGCATAACCTATGGCACATTCAAAATAAAATTTAAAGCTATAGCCCATCATTTGCAGCTATCCGAAAAGAAGCTGGCGTAAATATTGTTGAAACACATATTTGGTTGATAGTAAGGGGACTAAACTCCCTGTGAAATTATTCTTTCTGGCAAGCTGTCATTTTGAAGTAATCAACGAAAGAAGGCCTTTCCAACGGTGCTTCTTAAGAGGCACCGTAGGACAATTTTAATTAGTAGTTCGTTTTATTATTCGGCAAAGCGCGCGCAAGCATTGGCATGACGCACACGCACCCCCGGTTGTTATAATTCGTCGGATCAGTGCGCGACATCATGTAGCTGCAATCGGCTCAGCGAGAACACGTCAAATTACAAATTACAAATGATGGACTATATCTTTAATATGTCCTACATTGTATGTCAAGCGTACATCGTGCTATAGATACCCGCGAGAACCAGAACATGGATGTGTGTGTCCCCTCCACTGGGTTCTCAAAAGTGGTAAAAAAGCGCCCTCTCTTGTTCATGCATGAAGCCTATATGAGGCTTCACACTTCATGTGGATGGAGAGATAAGTGAGTTGGAGATAAAAGAAGCTTTCAATGCGAATTCGCTGGAGTTATACAAATAAAACGTGCTCACGTTTGCATATTCAAAGTGCATGTGTACTTTATGTGATGTTTTAGTAATCTTAAGTTTGTTTTCTTCTTTCTTTCTTTCTTTTGCTTTTGCTGCTACAATATGCCGAATATCAACTTGCCTTAACTGTGACTTAATCTTCGATGCCCAAATTTACAATCACATGCAAGAAATAAGTTGGGCTTTCAATTCAGATTATAAAAAATGCGAATACTGCACACAGTGTAAATAAACTTTTTGGGCAAATCACAATAATACCGGTAGCACGAGTTCACCTTGTGAGGTGACAACAATAACCTCTTTTTTCCAAGGCTAAATTTGAAAGTGATCTTTTATTCAGGTGCCTGCATTGCTGGCATAGCTAGCCTATAGGCCTATCAAATGGGGAGACTGATCACTTGTAAACACTCTTTCTCTGATTCAGTGTTACTTTCTTTATCAATAAGTTCAGTTTCCTCCAAACATGTTGTGATGATCAAGAAAAGTAGTAAAAAACAAGTCAGTATATGAACCCGTGTCAGTAAATTATGAAGCACAGTTTATGAGAACCCCCCCCCCCCTTGATTTTAAAGGAACACCAAAACAAATCATTGTTTTTAATTTGAACCTACATGTACAATTACAACAGGCAACTAGGGAAATTTCAATCTCGAGTATTATATTGTGAGGTTAATTCTAGTTCTAACTGTGTTGGTAAATTACAATTGTCATATAATGTATGTATACCCATGGGTTGGGAGCTAGTGGACTAATTTTTGAAGTCAAGAATTATTCATAAATGTTTGCCAGTTTGCTGAGCTATAAGCATTATTGCACAACGCACAGGGATGTGGTGCAATGCTGATGATTACCAATGGAGCAGTGCTGCCTATATCCTGGTGATTCCGCACTCAGGTACGCTTGTAATTTTGTTTGGCAATCAAACAAGCTTTGACCTTGCATCCTTGGAACCTGTTGGTGAGTCACTCTGTTCTTGTCAGGACACGTATACATACGTGTACGTACACCACTGCACAGTTAGCTGAACACAGTGAACAACTCTCCTATTGGTTTATCTTGCTTTACTACTTTCAATATTCCTGACAAGTGCCTGTTATATATATTCTCAGATAATAAGGAAATTGATTCAAATGTTTTTATTTGCAATATTATCACCTTTTCACTCAATAAATGACACCAACTTGTCGATGCCCCATTGCTTACATGTGACAGAAGACGTGACAGCTAGTGGCATGCAGACCCGGATGGGGGGTGGGTGGTGGTGCATCCCCCCCCCCCCCTCCCCCCCCCGTTCAGCCACTGATATATGTTATGGTACTAGTAAAAAGGGGTAAAAACCATACATTTAAGGCCAAAAAAGACCCACTGCTTCCAATCACATGGCATTTGAAAAAAAGGGTAGGTACATTGTGTAGGTAGGAAATTTTTTTTTGGCAATTTGTTGGTGTACGATCATACATTTGTCATACGGAGGTGTCTGCGTGTAGTCAAGGGTAAAAGGTAGTAATTACATGAATTAGGGTAATCTCTCAACCGATATTAGCGCGCAACCGTCTGGGCGAATCCATTGTAGCAAGAAACAGCCGTCTCATTGCAACTCGACAAGATCGATTTGCATTTCACGACGTCACAGCTTTGGGGTCATTGCTTCTTACATTCAAAATGGCTGCCATCCACAGACGTTTTATCCTACACACGGACTCAAGAAGTGCCTAAATTTCTCGAAAAATTGGATAGAAGGACGATTTAACAACCCCGAGGAAAGAAGCTGAGACATCATAGAATACAACAATTTGTAAACAAATTTGTGGGGTTTTTTTTGGACAAACTCCACAGTAGTTTGGAGAGGCAGGTGTGTGGCCAGAGATACCAAGGCCACACTAGTGGGTAGGCCGGGGCCGTATCATAAAGTCCGACGCCTCATAGGTCCGACGCCTCATATGTCCGAAATTTCGGACTTATGAGGCGTCGGACTTATGAGGCATAAAATTTATTTATTCCGCCTCATAGGTCCGACGCCTCATAAGTCCGACAACGGAAAAACGAGACGTTTAACTTGTCGGACTTACGAGGCGTCGGACCTATGAGGCGTCGGACCTATGAGGTGTCGGACGGAAAGATTTCCATATACGAAGTTCACTCAACACTCTGTGTACAAACTCTATGAGAGTGGACTGAAAAATTCTAAGTGTTTTCTAAGAAAATGCTTGTATTTTCTCACTGCTCAAATTGACTTTGATGACATGAAATTGCTATCTGGGGGCTTGTTATGTTAGTCAATACAGAGGAAAATTAGTGAACTTCGCATATGGTAATCTTGCCGCGTCGGACTTATGAGGCGTCGGACCTATGAGGCGTCGGACTTATGGGCCTTTATTTGGTTAGGGGATGCGATTTTGTCGGACTTATGAGGCGTCGGACTTATATGAGGCGTCGGACTTATGAGCGGACCCAGGCTAGGTAGGCCTACCAGACACCAGTGTAAATTTCCCCATGAGTACCAGTACAGGGCAAAATGTGCTGCTGAGTGGACTGAGAATTTTCAAATGATTTTAATAGGTCTAAATGTTTTAAATTTTCCACCAATTTTGTGTTTTGAAATAAAAGTTAAAATAGGGCCCTCAATAGTATAACAAGGATTGTGTCAGTTATAAAACAAATACTGAGTGGCTATAAATTGTGAAATGGGAGGAATATTATCACTCGGTAAAATCTGGACTTTTCCAGTTCACTCGGCTTCGCCTCGTGAAATGGAAAACTCGAGATTTTACCTTGCGGTAATGTTCTTCCCATTCTACTCTGAGCTACTCCTAGAACTATGAGGCTCCACGTAGTGTGGAGCCTCATAGTTCTAGGAGTAACTCTGAGCCACTCAAGTGCATGTTGTATTGCACCCATTCAACGTACAGTACACAGTACATAGCCGGCCGTGTGGTTAACGTTTGCAAAATCTTTTACTATAGGCTTTCCCCAAATTCATCACACGACGATTTATGAGAATTACTTGTAATGTTGTATCGCACTTACTCTAGACTGTAAACTGACTGGCTGGGAACTGAAGAAATGGTTGAAATCTGCCAGATGGTTGAGTGGAAACAAACCGTGCGATATTTACTTCGAAAGAACGCGGCGCAGGTATGCGTGTTTACGTCCGTGAGGGCGAACATATGTATACGTGCGTGAGCTCTATTTATAGATGAGACGTCATACACTATTTTTGGAATAGACGATGTGATTGGTCCACGCGCCGGGTCTTGGATCTTGTTAACCGCCAGCAGGCTCCGCCCCGTTTAGTCATAGTCCGAAAAAAGTTTTTTGGAGTTATGTTATAAAAACTTGTTTGAAAACCTTTTGGGAAACAAGCATCTGGTGATACGAACATTTGAGCACAGTAACGGAGCTACATGTACATACATGTATATAGTCTTGTGTACAAAATACTGAGTGACTTTTGAGGCATCAAATCACATCTCATAACTGCTCATTATATCGCAGGCAGTGCGCAGTTTTACCTGCAAAGTAGATTCGTTACTCAAATTCAGTTGGTACTTGTGATAAGTTCAGCTTCGAAGGAAAATCACTGTTGTTGTTTTTTGAGGAAAAAAAAAATGAATTCAAACTACAAACTTGTTGTTGTTGGTGACGGTGCCGTAGGAAAGACGAGTCTCCTGTTCTCCTACGCGAGGGGGCGATTCTTGACCGACCACATCCCGACGGTGTTTGACACATATTCCGGTAAGTTAAATACATGAGACCTTGACAAGCCACGGTCGAAATCTTTCAACACGTTTTTTTTTTCATGTCAACTGTGACATTATTTTTGTTGTATTTCAATGCTCAACTGTTTTTGATTAAAGTCATGATCAATGCGATTCGGCGAAACCACTGAAAAGACTCGGTTTTTTTTACTTGGAACTTTACAGTTGCATTTCTAAAACTTGATCTTCAGAAACTACTAATGAAGATAAAGTATTAAGGAAACTTGGAAACTAATACGCAAAACTTGAAGAAAAAAAACTTAAAAAACACACACACATTAAGACCTCTTTTAATCATCAAATTTTAAAGTCTTTTCCCTGATGGTATTTGACATGCCAGACTATTTTATTATTAACCAAACCTATCGATGAAGGTAGTAGGCCTAAACGTGGAATCGTACGCGTGCAATATAGGACATTGAGGTTACATGGCCACAGAGTCTCGCACTTCAATAATGATCTCTTCTTCCGTCATCCAAGAACATTTCGTATGAAACCGCGAAGACCACTACTCCAATTCGTCATAAACATATTAAAAACGTCAAGGGAACCAAAGAGCGGATTTAAGGGGGTGATGGGTTGGTTATACAACCTCCTTCCGTCTGACCCAACGTTTCCTTCCTGCCATATACGTCCGATACCACTGCAAAAATGATTTCGTGTGCAATGTCAACTTTTAACACCTCAAACTTCCCTTTTAAAATCCTGGATCCGCCACTTGAACTGAACAGCTCATAAAATTGAACTTTATCCTGAAAAAAAACCTGGTGTGATTCTGCCTGCATGCTCCATCCGTTTGTGAATCCCTTGTGGTTTTCAGTGGTGAACATAATATAGTTTTTCCCGGCTGTTTTAAAACGTCTATTATTCAAATTCACCGTTTCTAATATTCAAACTCGTCCATCAACATCGAATTAGTGCACTTCCAATGTTAAATATACGTCTTTTGTCTGACAATTTCAAATTTAGTTTAAGCAAATTCAAACAATGAGAACACGTTTTCGTCCCGGAGTATTCGATTCCGTCTCGTCTACGCCAAACCTTGTAATTCAGAAATCAAATTCGTCTTGCTGATTTATAATTATAAGACGAATTCGATCTCTGTATGCTGCCATTCAGCTTAGACGAATTTGATCTGTAATAACGAATATTCTCGACCCGGTGTCTGAAGAGGGTGATACAACTTTCAAATTGAATGATGAATGACTTAATTGGTATTGTTAAAAGCTTGTGAATTTTTTATCGGACGAGATTGAATGTTAGAAGTTGTGAATTTGAATGGAAAATGTTTTAAAATAGCCGGGAAAACCTATAATCAGTTTTCACATTAAATTCTTGGAGTTTTCAGCTATACCTTACGTCAGATTCGCATGACTTCGCCATTCTACATTAGAGTTTATTCAACTAAAACGGAACCTAAAAGATAATTGTGAGTGTAATATGATTATGTTTGTATAGGTTGATGTTTATTTTAATTTTGGAACTTTTTTTTTACACCGAGCAAGAAAAGTGTGACAAAAGTAATCTAAAATCTAAAAAGTAACTTTGTAGAAAATTCATAATGGCGCCATCTTGCAAGGCGCATGTACCGGGAGACGGGGGGCGATCTGTCATTTTGAGTTTTAGATAAATCATTGAAGATTTTGTATGTGTGTCATCATAGTTACCAAAAATTGGTTCGGACGTTTATTTTTAACCATGCATACAAAAGGCTACTACGAAATACGGAGATTACGATTATATCACTACCGATACAAAGAGCGAGGACGGGTATGCTAAAGTTGAGTTTCTTCCATTTTCTTCACTCATAGTGACGGTGTCTGTTAAGAATCAACATCAGCCAGTCCAGTTAACAATATTCGATACGGCCGGACAGGAAGACTACGATCGCCTTCGACCTCTCGCCTACCCAACCACCGACATCTTTCTCGTCTGCTTCGCCGTAGACTCTCCCGAGTCGCTGGAGAACGTCAGCGACACTTGGGTGCCTGAGATTCGGCACTACTGTGGGCGACACATTCCTTTCGTCCTAGTCGGATTGAAGACGGATCTTAGAACGAATGACCCAGGGGAAACGCGCAAATCTTGGAGGAAGAAGGGGAGGCGGGTATCAGGCGATCAGGTGACACGCGAGATGGGGGAGGCGGCAGCCAGACGACTTGGAGCCGTAGCTTACAAGGAGTGCTCGGCGCTGACTCAAGATGGGATCAAAGCTGTGTTTGACGAGGCACTGATAGAGGTCGCCCTCAGGCGTCCGGCCAGGCGTCGACGGTGCCGCACTAGGGGGAGGAGCTGCGGTATCAGACACTCTATAAGAAAGATGATATACTCGCTTGCATGAAATGGAACGATTGGGTGTGGTAGGAACCAGGAGGTGGGGGTGCGCACACTGGAATTCTAAGGCGCTGAGTGGGTTACGTAATTTTTGTTATTAAAATGGTGCTCTCTTTCCTCCTCAAAATTCTGAGCAGAAGGCACACAGGCCTTCAGGGCTTGGCATGGGGCCGGAGGGGGGGGGGCGGATGAGCCCGTGTTCGCTTAGTACTAAAAACGCCGCAGCATAGGGAAAGCTACCTCGATTCCAAAATAACTTTGAGTACATGAATATAATACAATCAATCTTTATTAGCGATGTCCACTTACTCAATAATGTTAACGGAAAGCTGACAATCCATTAATAATCATAATAATAATAATAATAATAACGGGTACTTAATTATAGCCCTCTTATTGATCAAAGTGCTTTACATTATCATTGAGCCAATGAAACATTCAAAAATACAATCGCAGCTTCCTGGGGAATATACAGCTCTACCCAACTATCCCTTCCCTCACAGGTACCCATTTACTCCTGGGTGGGGAGAAGCAATGAGTGACAAAGTGCATTGCCCAAGGGCACGCCCACCATAACCCCAGGCTGGAATCGAACCAACAACCTGCAGAATTACCCGCAGACCACGAGTTCAATGCTCCAGACCACGAGGCCACGGCACTCCACTTTTAGGATCCATTTATAAAAGATAAGCTATCACACAATATGCAGGATATACAATTAACTGCGGTATCCATAGCTTTATCACAAATTCAGTATCAATATTCAGATCACTCTTTTTGATACATCCTGAGATTAATAGTCTTAAAAAGTGACGCATGCACCGTTTATTCATGTTTAACAAAAAGGAAAATCATGGACAACGGTGGTCAATAATGTAATCCTCAGTTGTCACAAGATTAGATTTTACACTATAATATTTTGTTAAATTATTATGTACAGTATTTATTGTCATATCTGTTTTATGACATGTAATTTTTTTAATATAGCCTCAATAAAACATACATCTTTAAATGAGCACCTTGTATGCTCAAAGAAATGAAAAACGATATTTCAGGAAACCTTTTTTTAATTTTAAATAAGTTAGTTTTGCTCGTAAGTATTTTTTAGTGAAATTGTTCATGGATAGATTCGCCTGATTTGAAATCAATACATTGTAGGCTATATAGGGACCATTAAAAGTTGTATGGATATGGGACACCATTGCCGCTCGAAAACATTTGCTTGTTAAATCAACATAATTTTGCATGGTTCCATGATCGGGCATATATCAAAATGTCAAGATGTATATGTTGGCTTGGTGGAAAAACCACGTAAAATGATACAACCTGCTAGTTTTAAGCTGCATATCCCGAACCATATACACAATTTCTAATGGTCCCTAGTGTAACTTAACGTCATCCAATGTACAGCTTATTGGCTCCAAAAACCTCTTTTTGACCAAAAAGTTAGCCCTACGTGTACCTTCTATATTTACCCATCATGGCACCTTGCACTTATGTAATCTGCGATTAAATCTAAATCGTTCTTGTACAACATTATTTAATTTGATGCATTTCTGAAGCCGTGGGCAATTTTAAATTGAAGCTTTTATCATTCACATAAACTTTCAAAAGACATGAATCTCTAGATTTTGACAGTGCGTGTCGATCCAACAATTGTCAAGGTACAGACTTAGCGGCCTCTACCATATTTTTCAGTTTTTGTCGCATGATGTGCTGAGGAAGGAACCCCAAACCGCAGTCAGGGGCCACGACCAGCCTCTCACTTGGGATGAACTTGAGGGCGCTCTTCAGTCTTGCCTGAATTTCGGCCACCGATTCCACTTTACTGCTGGCGATCGGATGGCGACAGATCCCAGGACGACCTTTGAATGTTTGAAATGGGTCAGCAGGGTCAGGTCGTTCCGCCGGTGGGTGTCTTCAATTGAAACTGATTATTCAAAAACGAAAGAAAATATTCAGGGTTAAACAAATAGCCCTTGAACACGCGAAATATAGCTCTAAAGTCCTATAGGGTGACGTTTGGTGGAATGATTGAGAAAATTACCTTTCAAAAAAAAAAAAAAAATTAAAATAAATTGCTTGATGTTATTATCTTAGTTTTTCGAGGGCATGGAAAGCATGTCAGATGAGGACACAGATATGCAACAAAATTAGCTGAGGAAGTGTTGTTTTATTTTAAAAAAAATATATGAGAATCAAAACCACAATTCCAACAACAAATGACAACAGCTAGTCCTAGAGGATATCTGCACAATGAAAACAATAACCATAGCCATCAACAACCACATCTGTAACCAAAGCCAAATCTCTGGCAACTTATTTATTACGTACAACTATATCAAGCTCAATCTGAATATCTGGGGAAAAACAGAATACAACAGCAACACCTGTCCTATTAACACCAATACTAATTTTAATGGAGAAGGGAAATATACCTTCATCGAAACCTGCTTGGTCGACTCTGTCAGCTACTTGAAAATAACACTAGCTGTGGGTCAGCTTTAAGGTAGTCTTCTTGGTCCAGCGAGAAAATGAGGGTTCCTTTTTTCATTATTTCAAGAAGTCAAGTGTATGCTTTGCATTAAAGCCATGATGGTGTTCTTTTGCTCCACGAGGGTACGCATGAGTACAGCCCTTTCATCAGCATGAGTATAGCATTCATCATTACGGATTTAGGATTAAAAAGAACCTCCAAAATGGCTGCTATTGGCAAGGTGTCTATTGCCTGAAGAGAGGATGACTTCATAATTATAAAAGACTCTCTCATTGATGGACGCCACCCGTTTGTCTTGTTTGTCGCTGTTTATACGTGACCGTGGATTGTTGGGAAAATTCAAGTTTTCTCGTTTCTCGTTTATTTGTTTCACCTAGAAGTTCCATAGAACCCAGCGATATCTGATGAATATTTGTAGTAATAAGATTTTTGAAAAAGCCATAGCTTCGAAATCAAAATCATGACTGGGAATTTCTTGCACTGTTAATGAGTGTTCTTTCCTTCATAGTTGATTATCTGAATTAATTCTCAACGGCCAACCTTTTTTTCTTCTTTTTTTTGCAGTCCGGCTTAAGACGAAAGAAATCAATCTAAAGATATTTAAAATATGTATCGTCTTGGTAACCTCGCTCCCAAGACCTTCGATACACTTGGAGGCATGATCGATCCCAAACTCGAGCGCTTTGTCCAGCGATCGGACGAATACAGGTTCATCAAGTTGTATGTAGATTGTCAATGTGCATGACGGTGATAATACAATTTGTTTGGACCGTTTAAAACCTTTTTTGAGGGAATCAATGAGTATTCCACACAGTTAGATAAAAAAAAACTCGAGGTTGTTTTCTCAAACCGACTGCAACTTTGTTTTTCAGAGATGTCGGATTCAGCACGATGAAAGGCTTTATTATTTACCGTCTGTTGGTTTTGAACCCCGACAATCATTTGATCTTAGTTATCTTATTGACACAACTCCTTGAAGGAAGACCTTGACATCTGATGATAGTTGTTATTCTGATTAAAACCACACGATAAATATCAAGGACCTTAGCACAAAAAGAGACAAACTTGAACTTTGATGAAAATAGGTGTATGACAAACATCGCGTGAGTTGTACTTAATGATTATTCCAAGCTTTCGCAGCTTGAACTATCCCATACTTAGTTATGGTACCAAAAACACGAAATTTACCGGAGACATGGAAACTATGTTAATGTTTATGCAGTAACGTCCCACACAAAAACTAAAAACCCCAACTTAATTGATTCATTAAATGTAGGTTTCGCATATTCTATTGTACGTTGAAGCTCTAGCAGATTTTTTTTTTTTGATTTGTAGGTCAATTCAGTTTCAAGGCCTTTTTTTCTATCACATCTGCCTATATCTGCCCCGCTCTACATGCAGGGAAAAGATGAACCCGCCATTTCAGCAGATTACCATTGGATTTCCTTCCGTCTGTGATCGCACTTCGCTCGTATCTTTCGTCTCCTATACGTCAAAGAAAAGTACTTATTTAAAATAATTTGTCAGCGTTTAACACCTGCCTTATACTTTACAATTAAATATGCAAAAAGCACACTCAAAATACATAAAATCATAAATTTAGAAATGTAAATTTACACTGGCGTCACATGATAACGCAATCGACAAGATATGAACCCAATAAATAAAGCCTGGGTTCTGCAACATATACGCAAAAGGGGCGGTAATGGATCACCTGACTTTTATTATCGCGCAGCAAGTCGGGGTATCACGTGGAAGTTCCAGTTCCCGGCGATATGATATGTGTTTAATAATAACCATCGCAAAATTCCTTGTCCTAGGGGTCTTTTTCACAACTCAGGGCGACAGTTATATGTCGCCTTAATAGGGTGTGTCGACCTATTGTGGACGGAGTTAGCAAAATCTGTCGCCCTATTATAGCATTTAGTAAAATAATATGAACTATTAAAAAAAACCCGCTTTCTTTGACACAAAGACATCGCACAGTGCTGTACAATTAAAATCCGCAGGTTATTAAGAAATAAAAAAAACAACAGTTATAAATCAATCAAGCAGGCATATACTTAAACGTAACAATTACCTTTAAGTGATGCAAAAATTATGCTAAAAAGATGAGTTTAAAGTAGGTTAAGCCCCCTGTCACACTGTCACAATGTAGCCTCCTGATCACGATAAGACAATGCTGAGACGCAAGAATCGACGACATCGTGAAACTCGGAACGACATCTGAACTTTATCGGAGCGATTTCTTGAGCGTCGTTACGGCATCCTACAGGTCGTATCGGATCAGAGTCTGTTCTCTGTCTGTACTCAAACGGTTGTGTCGCAACGAAGTCGTAAGGAAGAAGTAACGACATCGCAATACTGTTTTCGAGATCGGAAGTGGTCGAACATGGTCGGCCAGATTTTTTAGCTGACTTTGAAACGACCAAATGTCGCTTATGTTGTAACTAGATCGAGACTCAGTCGTGAAAAAAATCAATTGAACGGATCTAATTCGTAACGAAGTCGTAGTATTCGGTTCGAGGTCGTTTCTGAGTCGTGTTATTCGGGATGACATCGCAGCACATTCTGATCATGGTCTGCAGACTGGAGCTCAGAAGACGAAATTTGAATTTGGCGCCACATTTCCTACGTTTTTAGTACGATTTAGAAGATATTTTAAATCTCATGGTCTTGGCGGGGTCTTGGTCTTTGATGTGTGACAGGGGCTTTAGTTAATACTTTTTTTAAAAGAGTAGTAACTAAACTCATATGGATCGTCTGTGACCGACTGACTTTGATAACAAATGCGAGATAGTGACTTTCCTTGATGCCAGCGGTGTAGCCAGGATACTCATCATAGGGGCGTGTGTGCGCGTTTGTTTATGGTGTAAATCGAGGACACGACGTGCAACATCATCGATAAATTGAGGACAGGAACCAAATCGAGACCGACGTCTCGATTCGTGTACTAAACAAATGAGAGCTGTTGCAAAAAAGTACAAACAAATGAAAAGGGGAAAGGAACAAAAGACAATCCTCGATTTACACCATAAACAAACGAGGGTGAGTTTTTCTTACAGGCACTATGCGGACATGCGCCCCAACGCCCCCCCCCCCCCGTAGCTACGCCGCTGCTCGATGCTTGCGAGATCGTGTTTTTGTTTCGCGTTGAGCGGCGCCTCGCGAGCGCGTAATTGGGACTGATCCTAAAATTTCAGTATTTGTTGGCCAAGTACTTTTACTCCCTTCTCTTGATGTCCCCTGGCTCTCCCCGTCCCCGATCTAGTTTGTGCTCAATTACTCGGAAGTGCAAAGTCTTAGAAAGTATATTTCCTGCGCTAAGAAGTACCGCAGGAATTGTTGTTTACATGTTGCTCACAAGCTTGATGCTGGGGTGATCAAGAAACTGGATAGGGTTCATTTGTAGGGACTGTCTTTGAGGATACGTGATTGAAGCATAAGGCATGTTTGTCCACCGATCTGCTTGGTCGAACATTTTTAACGACCATGGCACTTTATTTTAGTATTTAAAATCTGAAGAAGCATTCACACTAAAAAGGAATTGTATATGAACCATGAATTAGCGATGTATACTGGATCTGCAACAATTTGCTCCGGAGTTTTTTGGTCGTTGAGTTTTACCTGTTTTTTTTTTATTCACGCTGGGCAAATTGAGAAACCATGAAAAGAAAGCCAACGGCTATGCTAATTTCAAAATGCAGCATCTCTAACCAGTGCACGAACATGATAGGCCTACGTTGTAAATAACTAGCCGACGCAAGCCATTTCGGGGCTTCACGTCACGCAATTAAAAGCAACTTGCAAATTTGATGTTGAATTCGGTGTACCAAGGGCAAATTGAATTGTCCTCACAGCCTTATTTTGTATAACTCGGAAATTAACCACAAATTTGATGAGGAAAACCTTGCATAAAATTCCAAAATGCCCGGTTAAATTACTCCACCAGAACTAATTTGTTAACGAAAGAAAGGAATCATTGAAGGTTGTTTTCAAAAGTGTGCCCGCGGGTACGGTTTAGTTTCCCCAAAAACATATTAGCCACTGAGCTGAAACTTCAACAGGTAAATGGTTGTTTTGTATCCTTCTTAAGCATTTGAACAGTTTTGTTGCTCCAAATTCATAGAGTGCACAAAGAGCAACGATCTCATACAGATACTTTAAATGAATCGCATACAGAGCCAATGGTGGAACATGGATGTTCAACTTGGGAACTGTGACCGTGTATACTACAGGAAACGGAACTGAACACCCAATGTACAGTGACTATGCAAAACAAGCTACAAGTGCACTTTGATCATATTGATATTGCTGACCTGAATTGCTGTATGGCAATTGAAATCATACAATGGAGACGGTACACAAAGGGGTGGATTTGTCACATGATATTGCAGTAGTGGCTCTATATTTATGGATGATGCTCGGTCAGGTGACAAAATCGAGGCATATTTAGTCCTGCGCTGGTTCTGAGCCCCGTCACTCTGCCTGACGTTTCCGAATCTGAATCACGCCTGGCGTTTACTAGATGATGATGAAGTTGTTTGTTGCCCTTCTCCTTGTGCCCTTGGTGGCTGCCTTCCCGTCTGAGGATTTCTTCCCCAATCCGCAGGCGGAGCCTACACCCGGTAAACACTGGGGTTTGCTGGTGGCCGGCTCCAACACCTGGGACAACTACCGCCATCAGGTAAAACGCCATTGTCGATTGCTTCATTTACGTAGGATTGAAGAACTAGGTTTTTTCTTTGCTTTGTGCTTTTGCCTTTTTGGAGGCTTTTATTTTGCGCGCTAGTACCTCTCGCTGTTCTACTGCTGTCTAGTCGAGCTGGGCCCGAAAGTCCCAGTCAGTGGGTCAGTGATTCAGTCAAAAGACAATAGCCTGGCCATTCGGGTCCTTCGAAAAATGACCAACGGCTGGTTTGCAGAGGTTTGCAGATTGCAAAATGAGCCAATATCCTAGCTTGTGAAGATAATCCATTTTCGAAAACGAAATGAATAAGTAAACAGCTAGGTATTATCATCGATTTGCACACGACGGACGTCCAGATGTATTTTGTGTGACTGGATACACCTAATTCTGATTGGAACAGTGATACATTGTATTCATAATACTCCTACTACTTTGACCGACATCATTACCCCTTCCCTGCTTACCCATAGCTTTCATGGTTTATTTATGACTCGACAGTTATCTGTTCATTTCAAAACAACTTTCGAAATTTGTTGGCCTAACTTTGCTCCTGTTTATGGAAGATGCGATTGATTATGATGTCTCTTTATAACGCAAGAAAAGGCTGTTTTGGCACAATCTCATTTTCAAGACAAAATACATCTCCAACTGAAATGTATTCGAAAATTCAAAACGGGAAACTAGAGTACAGGAAAACTGAGACTTTTAAGATCGTGAAAAATAAATATTACTATTTTGGAGTGAATGTCTTACATACGTACGGTGAGCGTATAGTTGCCAATTTTCTTTAAAAAAAAGAAGAAGAAGAACAGATTTTGACATGTCATTCCCCTCATTTTCTTGTTTATTTTTCAGGCTGACATTTGTCATGCTTACCAGATCCTGCACAAGAATGGCATACCGGACGAGAACATTGTGGTCATGATGTATGATGACATAGCTTACAATTCAATGTAAGTCATCCATATATTAACATGCAAGATGGGCGATTATCCCAAGGTAATATGGCGAAGGACATATCCCCCATAACAGTGGTAGCGATTCTGCGTATACTTGTCTTAAGGCTGTTAGACTAATCACATGGATCAGTCAGGTGACAAAAGCAATACATTATTAAAAAAGAAACTGTTTTAATTTTTTTTAATGAAGTACAATTTCTGTGTTTTTTTTCTTCATTTATTTTTTACTTTATTGTCGCTGATTATTATTTTAATGGGCGAAAAGAACTATTGTCTGTTTGATGAACTTTGAACAATTTAGGGGTAAATGGCACTTGTTGATTATGGATGAGAAAAGTAGAAAAGTGTTGTTTTATTCGCATTAGGAATCCCACTAAAGGAATAATTATCAATCGCCCGAATGGACCGGACGTGTACCACGGAGTCTTGAAAGATTACACGAAGACGGTAAGTCCTTAACATCTATCTGTGATGCTCAAACTATTATTTGTGATGTGATCTATCTGTGATGCTCAAACTATTATTAATGGATAACTAATTTTCGATAAATCGATAACCAATGTCAGCCGTTGATCAAAGCTATATCGCTCATCTAGATGCTATCCTAAAACAACTGCTTCTTTTGTAGGAGGTGAACCCCAAGAACTTCTTGCATATTCTTAGCGGCAACAAGACGGCGATGAAGGGAATTGGTAGCGGCAAAGTCATTGCCAGGTCAGTCGCGAAGAAACAAATAAGCAACAGAAAAAATACAATAACAAACTAACATAACTTTCAGTCATTTCGAACCATCATTGTCATTTTGACCTTCAAAGGTCAAAGGCGCACCCAGGATTCGGCTTTGGGGGGGGGGGGGTAAACACTTTTTTTCAATTTTATTTTAGATTTTTTTTTCAAAAAATGTTGCACAATTATTTTTATTATTATTATTCTTGTTTATTTATTATTTATTTATTTATTAATTTTTTTTTTTTGGGGGGGGGGGACTATTCTGACGTTGGTGGTGCCATTAACACCCTATTTTACTATTCGAAAATTGGCCACATACATAATCACCACGGTCAAATCGTGGGACTTGGACTAAAAAAAATTGACACAAAAAAAGCCCACCGACGGCCCCCCTTTGGGTGACTACTTGTCAAAGGTATTAGGCCGTATAGAACCAGGGTCAAAACTGAAAAGGGACTTTTAAGATCATGGCTAATTATTTCACCGATTACTAAATATTACAAGTTAAGGTTGTGTAGTAATAGTTCCTGACCATTCCCCTGGCTACTTCATTATTTTGCCTTTATTATTTACAGCGGTCCAGATGATCACGTCTTCGTGTACTTTGCCGACCATGGAGCCACCAACCTCATCGCTTTCCAGGATGACTACGTATGTTTGGAACTTTAACCTTACTTCGATTTAATCGGCATAATAATTACGGTAATCCACGGAATAGATGTGAATCTGCTCAAAAGGTTCCCTCGTGTTTGTTTCAATGTTATTTTGTAAATTCGATGATTGTTGTGTACGACTTGTTTATATCATCATGGAAGTGAACATCATTTTACGCATTTTGTAGTTCAAATAGTTCCAGCGGGAATTGTGGTTCCTTTCTCTATACTAACTACTCTGCAATGTGCTACTCAGAAAAGCCACGTCCTTGTTTTTATCGAGGCAAGGAATAAGTGGACAATCGTTTGCGTTTTAATTGCAGCTTTACGCGAAACAGCTGATCGCAACCCTCAAGAAGATGCACACCGAGAACAAATATCAGAAGGTAGGTATTGATTTCATATGCAATATTTATTAACTGTCCTGAATCCTCCAATTAATATGATTTTCGCAAACCGTGTAGGAGTGAGGGTTAGCACCATGTAGCCTTAATCTGTGTTGTCTCCAGGAGCTTGATCGATGCGGTTTTCTCTGAAACTACACTACCTTAACACCGTATTGTCTTTATGGTGTATAATTAAAAAAAAATGAACCATGATTTCACCTTTAACTTCATGGACTCGTTTTCTTGTTATGATTATTATTTTATGGGCCTTCACTCGAGACAAAAACAAATGCCCATGTTGGATTACATGTATATGAACAATTGGAGAAACATTGCGGATATGACATGGAGGGTATTTAGATTATTAAAAGGAGATAATGCGTAATGAAAGTCTCGAAAATCTCGCAGGATTAAATCTAGACACCCAACGTACTTTCACCGATATTATATATATCTTTTGTCCTTGCAGTTGGTGTTCTACCTGGAAGCCTGCGAGTCTGGTTCCATGTTTCTGAAGCTTCCTAAGGACATTAACATTTATGCCACCACGGCTTCGGGACCGGATACCTCATCCTATGCCTGCTATTTTGACGGGAAGTTGGGAACCTACCTGGGCGATGTGTACAGTGTGAAGTGGATGGAAGACTCAGACAAGGTAAAACGGAAAGGTATTTTTTTTAAAAATTTCTTTAGAGAATGAGGGCGCCCTACGACGCCATTTCTGTGGTATAAAACAGCATAGAATCCTTGGTTATTAACGTAAATAAACATGTTGCTGTAATAAACAGATTACATATTTACAGTATTTAATTGTTAAATTAATGTAAATTACTGCAATGCTTCAATAAACGTGATACCGATACTGGGTTTATTGTTTTACCAAGACCGTAACAGCAGTAATACAGCGCCATCACTGGCTTTGACCCTGTAATCCGATGTTCTGAAAATGAATGCCTGTTTTGAAAACAGAGAATGCTGGCTAAAAAAAATACAAAACTTAAATATGGTGACCTTTGTATTTCTAAAAATGTTCTGCAAATTTAAATCAGTATCGACTCCAGGTAACGACATAGTTAAAGAAAATTTCAGAATACAATAAAGTGAAAAATATTGTTTACAAATAGCTGTCTACTGGGTATGTTATATTAGTTTTCATAACCCTGCAACCAGCTCACTTTGTTCAAACGGATATTATTTGGAAATGAACTTGCCAATAATTGTTTCCTTCTCTTCTGGCCCTTTAGGAAGATCTTACCAAGGAGACTCTGGAGGCACAGTTCAAAATCGTCAAGAGGGAGACCAACACCAGCGTTGTCCATCAGTACGGAGATCTCAAGCTCGACCAGGAAACACTGATCAACTACCAGGGCAATGGCGGGCAAGGCTCGGTTCCCGGGAAGCCCTTCCCTCCATCACCGGTATGGTACACCATGGCCAGCATGCACGTATTGTATTTAAGGGCCTTGCAATGAATTTGGAATTCATGGATTGAACCCTTTGTCCAATTGATTCATATTTCATTGCTATTTGCGTTTCTGACCCCTTTTGGTCGTTTTTGGATAAAAAATGGCAAAAACGACAAAAACTATGAAGACACTGATGTTTTCCCGCAGGCCCTCAGACAGCACTGATTGATATACAGTGCTTATAAAATCAAGTCTGTGAAAGGATAAAGCATATTATAAGTCCCAAAGCCAACTGACCAACCGAATCGATGGCGTTTTAAAAAAATGTTTCGAAATTGACATGCCGAAGATAATGCACTGCAATGGAAGTACAAACACATCATGATATTTTGCCTAGATCGTACGTTTGACTGATTTTAGGCTTTTCACTGTTAACCGTAGTTGAATGCCATCAACAGCCGCGATGTGCCCCTGGATCTTCTGTTTCGACGCTATGAATGTGAGACTGATCCCGTGCAGAAGAGAAAATTAATGACGGAAGTGGCGAATATGGCAGACGTAAGGAATTTTCAAATTTCTTTAGGCCTATTTGATTAAACCAATGACAATGACATTTGCAAAATGAATAATTCTGATATAATGTTCAGTAAAGGGGGTGAGCAAGTGTTTACTACAATTATTCTAATACATTATAAGTAAACATGTTTTTGTATGTCTTTCTGATTCAGAAACAAAGCGTTGTGCACGAAATTTTGTACAACCTCGCCTACCAAATGACGGATGGAGACGCGACCATGACTGACATGGTGCTGAACACTAGAGGGCGTGGTGTCGTGAATTGGGACTGTTTCACAGCCTCGCTGCAAACCTTCAGCGATGAGTGCTTCTCAATGACTGAGGTTATTAAAGAACATAATTGACCAGGTTTTTGTGAAGACGTAGTTAATCTGAACTTGACTGCATGGTGATAAAATAACAAGAAAAACTTTGGCTCTAACCAACAAAGCAGTATACAAGTTTGCTTTTGTTCCCGCTCAGTATGTCTGAGTCTGTTACAATGAATGCTTTCGTTCTTTCCAAAATGTCTAGGAAGACCTAGTTGCCAACGTTTTGATTTTTAAAACAAGTTACCGGTTCGCACCATACAAAAGTCCTGCGCCTTAACCAAAGCAAAGCGAAACAAACTGGCCCAAAGTGTAACATGGACGAAAAACTATTTTCCTTCAACTGATTAAATACATATTTTCTCTTTGCAGCTTCCCTATGCTTATGGGCAAATGCATGTGCTTGCTAACCTCTGTGACCTGACCAACTGCAAAACTACTGAGTGAGTTCAAATCCTGTGATATTTTTGATTTATGACTAATGCACATCAAACAACATTTATGAACTGTGAACCAATTTTGTTATTATTGAGAAAATTGTCCCATTCGAAGACTGTTCATTTTGTGGGATAACATACATGTTCCACAGATCAGAAGTAACAATTCAGTCTACAATTCACTCTCTCCTTTCCTTTTTTTTTTCGTAAAAGGAACTCTCATAGAACGGACTTTTATTTTGCTTTGCAATAGCTGGTTTTGTAAACTGTGATAAGAATGCATTTCAGATATACAACTGTTAACCACTAGTCAATCACCAGACACTTCCCAAACTGAAATGGGTGGAAAATTTCCTCTTAAAAACCTTTAGGTTTATCAATATGCCCTCGCTGGAAACATATCCGATTACAGTATGCAAACTTCCGGCAATCAGCACGAATTGACGTTTGGTGTTTAAACGAAAGAAATGTCGATCGACGAATAGTGGGAAATCATTAATGACGACCGTTTCTCTCGTTTCTTTTACAGAATCACTTTGGCCCTCAAAGTTGCTTGCCCTTAGAGGAAAGCTTAGCAGAAACGGAGAGCAGCATATAGGCGGACTGTATAATTAATTAAAGCAACCCTCAGTTTCCTTGAACTGTTTTAATTGGTTATTTTTTAATTCTAAGATGTAAAGTTTCCAATCGTCTTTTCTTAAATCCCAAATTAATGATGACACAAAACGTTTTACGTATTGAAATTAATTATGCTTACGGGTATCAATTGCTTTTCATTACGTATCTTACATGCAGTGATGCCTTCTAATACTAAATGAGAATTAGTTTTCAAAATCTGTAGTGAAATATTTTGAATATGAACTTTTCTTATGTTAATTAGTTCAACAGTTAATGCATTCATTTCGCTTGCAGGGAATTTGAATATATTGCCTCATTTTTATGGGCGAGTTTACGCGCAACGTTTTATCAACAGCAGCTTTGTTTGTTTTATTTTGTTGCTTTTTTCTTTTTAGATTGATACATTTTTGAAAATAGTTTTTAATTGGCTTATAATTATGGTTAAAAAAGTGTACTTTTTTAAAATTAATATGCGGATGAAATAGGTTGAGATATTAAACAAGCTGTGAACATGACACGAACATCATTGTTTTCGTGTCACTGTACATGGACACAAAACAGAACCCATAACGAAAGGACGAATGAGGCAAATATCAAATTTAATAAAACGAAATAAAATTAGATCCTCTAAATTCTCTAAATCCTATGTGAAATTATTCCATCAGAAATGTATTCGTTTAAGAGAAAGAAACGTTGAAGGTGGTTCTTAAAAAAGTGTGACGGCGGGCATGCTTGTCACGTGTATTAGCAACGGAATCCAGTAGATCTACATATATTTTTCCTGTTTTCTCAACATGTATAGAACGTCGCCACTGGGATGAAACTACAACAGGTTATGCACTCTACTAAATATTTAAAACATTTTTTTTGTTTCAAACGAAAAGAGGTCAGCAAGAGCAAATGATGCATGTACCTTATTCCATAAAGGGTGGAGCATTAAAATACTTAGTACCCTGAATGTTTTATAAAAATTGCGAACCATGCCCGTGTTTTATAGTCCATTAAAGGGAACTGTACACCCAATGTATAGCACCTTACTATGCAAAGGGAGGGGGGGGGACCTTGCCCACCCTGGCGGATTTTTTTTGTAACAATTTCTTTGACCCCAATAATTTAATAGAATTCTTCTGACATCAATCCCACCAAAGAAAACCCGCTCAACAACCATTACAATGCGCCGTGAAAATGTTATATAATATGTAGTATGCATAATAATGGTCAGTTTTGAAGAGCGCCCCCATTTGGAAGATGGGTACCAGTCCCCCCCCCCCACCGCTTTTTGAAAAAAAAGTCTACATTTCGGCGCGGATGTGCGGTTTCCTCCCCCCCCCCCCGACATCAAAAGCTGGATATGCTACGCCGCTGCCTTCAGCTGTAGGCCACAATTCTTTACATTTAGGCCTAGTCGCGATGGACACGCGAAAGTTTCAATTGAGGACAATTCAATTGAGGCTATTGGATAGAGTTGGTTGAATCGGTGAGGATTTTCCAAAAATAGTCTGGTATTCTTAAAACATTGAATTTTCTTTTGCAGTCACTTGCTCCATATTTTTTGCATCACATGGGTACGTATGACCGTGGTTAGAAATTGGTTAGTATGTGGCGGTTCACTTTTTATATTCCTAACATTTTGTGGTAGCCGTTGCCAATTCTGCGGTCGCATTTAGCGAATGTCGAGAGTCAAGTGCAGTTTCTCAAAATACTTTCAAACAAATTGGGAAATGGTTCTCAGGCAGAGCTAGATGCATGCATTTTCAACAGTTTTGCAGTGGCTAAATTCATCGAGAGAATCTACGATTTATGAAAAAAAAGGACATTGGGTTGCAACTTTATTTAGATTAGCTATATTTTGTTGAATGCTATTTGATAATTTGTAATTTCTGCTGGGCCCGAGTGGAATCCATGTAAAGTATTGGTGCATAAGCTAGCTTGAGAAATTGTATAGATAAATAAATAAGTCAATTTGGACAGGTTTGGTCTGAAACCGCTGCGTAGACCAGATTTGTTTTGGTATGTTTCACAGGCAAGTCATTCCTGTTGAGGTTGTTTTAAATGTTTTAAGTTGAGGAAAGTCAGTTTTTCCTTGCAGCTAATTTTACTGGTTTTTCAAACAAATGCTGCGAAATTCGGATCCCCCTTACATTAATACAATGGTGTAGGCGTGGTTGATGCGGATCTTCTCCTATTTATTCAGCTAGGATGTCAAAGCTTTTATGAGTGATTTACATATCAGGCGTCCCAGCGGGCTGCTACATCTCACCATACTGATGTTATTTATGTCCCTTGTATTGCGCTCTTCTAAGTGCTTTCACTGTGCCCTTTTATGCATTGTTATTGTGTATACATTGTATTCCTTTTTGGCCATTAGCCGTTCCGGTTCGTTAATCATTTATGTTGAGCACATTCATGAATCATGCTGCGGAAAATGTATGGAGTTGCCTGACAACAAGCCGGTTCGATTTATCTCGAGCAACATAGCACATGGCTGAGCACACGTCTTGAACTATGGTAGTGCATGAACCTTTCGTAAACATTTGTGATCATTGCACGAGATCTATTTTTATTTATTCAATAATGACAATGAAATTTATAGACCTAACTACAACTTTCCCGGAAATACAGCTGAATTATAATAATAAAACAAAAACAAACAAACATACAGCTGCTGCTCTGAGTATTTTTTCTGCGGCAGGGTGACCAGGTAAACATTTGGAACAATACATCTGAGGATAGGAACATGTAAACGTGGAGTCACCATGGAGGAATTTCTTATTCCTCCATGGAGTCACGAAGGACAGCTTTGCACCCCATGCACTGAGTGGTCACTAGCCAAGGTGGATAAGCCCTACACAGAGGGGCTAAGGATGAACATCTAGAACAACTTCGACTTGGAGTTGAGTGAAGCGGACTCGCAGGGCTCGGGCAGCGTCTTTTATATTATATTATTGTCATGGAACCATACATTTAGTGTGTTGATTATGATTATCTGGTTGATATAGTTGAAATTGGGAAATACCTTTACTTACTTCCAAATAGATAATGTTTAGTATCCTAAAATACACAAGTAAGATATGTTTCCTGTTTGCAATTAAACCCACGTACATGCATAATTGTCGCAAGGTATGGCTTTGTAAACAATGATAAGTACCCTTTGACATTGAAATGTACAACTTCAAATTGCAATAGGCCCATGCATTGCAGCGAATGCCGGTACCGGGTATTCCCCAAGTATCCATTCTGATATTACGTACGGAACTAGGCTTGTTGATCAGAAGTTAGTTTGTGAACCGAAATGTATTTATTTTGGCGGACGTAAGGCCGATTGTGTGGCACCAGGTTGTAGTTGTCCAACATCCATTTAGGTGCTAAAAGGTTACACTGTGGGTGTATATACATGTACATGTGAATGTATTGTAATACAGGATTCATAACATTTGTACCTTCGCTTGGGTTAGTGCTAACTAGTGATAGTTTGCGGTAGCACCATGTGAATGAATACTTGTGGAACAGATGCAGAGTTTAATTTACAAATCGTTGGTGAAATGAACGTCTATGCAAATACCTAGTACGTATTTCCTTTTGGCCAGTGTTGGGCCGGCCACGTTGAATACATGTTTCACATGTCACACCTATGCATAGTTAGGCAAAGGGTTCGACTGTGTATTGGTGTCGGCGATGCAGCTGGCGGGTAACACTGATTTGAGTTATCACTGGTAATTTAAATAAACCTTCCGTTTGTAGAAACACCATACGGGTGCATGTCTTTTGAGAAGATAATTAATAATAAATTCAGTAACGTGCAAGTTAATTAATGGGAAGGTTTGGCACTTGGCATGGGGTTAGTGTAAACTATGAGGGTGTGCGACAACAGCAGGTGTATAAATCTTTTTTGGGACTATCGGGGTTTTTCTGAAACAACCGTTTGGTCGTCACGGTGCAATCAGCCAGTATGCTCAGGTCATCTGCATCGGTGCATCTAAAGATAAACCAACTTTATTCGTGAAATTATTGCTCCGATTAATAGGCTCTAATCTTCATGAGGAGAAAACCTGACGGAGTGAATGAGTTTACATTTACCAAATTCTAAATTGACCTATTTATGTTGCGCTGCATGGGTGATTGCACTTGAAATTTTGGATCATTCGGGGTTACAGAGTCGAACCAGTGCCCCGAACGGCTTGTTGGCACAGTCGAATCTCGTTAGTACAAACTCTGTTAATACAAAATTCTGGTTATAACAAACATAAAGCCTTAGTCCCGTCTGTGCATTTATGTGCACATTGAATGGGACTTGTATTTACTGTAAACAAATGGTATTCGTTCATATTCAAAGTTATCTGGGAATGATTGCGTGGCTTTGTGGTGGGCGAATTTTTCAGCTATACCGAAATATACCTAATATCATTAATGATAATACCAAATATTATTAATTTTGATATTGGACATCAATACTTTAGAAAGGATTAAATTTGTTTATTGATGTTGCATTTACCATGAGCGGTCTAATTGACTGCACGTTCGTTGCCTGTAAGAGCATTTTCCGACATTAATCGCGGTACATGTAGTACTCAGTGCGCCGTTGTGCAGTAAATCCCATAGCAAGGCCTGTCAGCGCCAACCCGCGAGGACTCTCATGTATCGCCGTCAAAATGTACCTTAACATGGATGGTTCTGGACAACTTATACGTTGTTTGAAAGCTAATGACTGGCCCAACTAGCTAGCTGAGGAAAAGGCAAGTCTCAAGACCCAAAACGTTTTGAGAAAATGCCAGATGTATTTAATACCTGATGCCACTAGTTTCAGTTTTTGTGCAGTAAATCCCATAGCAAGGCCTGCCACAGCCAACCTGCACCGGCTCTCATATATCGCAGTTAAAATGTGCCTTAACGTGGATGGTTCTGGACAACCTATACGTTGATCGAAAGCTGATGAGTGGGCCAACAAGCTGGGAAACAGTAAGTCTTGACACGTACACCCAAGATTTTTGGAGAAAATGCCAGATTTATTAGATGATGCCACTAATTTCATTTTTGTGCAGTAAAAAATCAGCCAGTCAGCGTGAACCTGCCCCGGCTCTCATGTATCGCCGTCAAAATACACCTTAACATAGATGGTTCTGGACAACGTAAACGTTGTTGGAAAGCTAATGAGTGGCACAACTAGCTGGGTAGAAGTCAAGTCTCGAGACCTTAGATTTTTGGAGAAAATGCCAGATGTATTACATGATGGCACTGGTTTCATTTTGTGTGTGCAGTAAAACCCATAGCAATGCCTGTCAGCGCAAACCCGAACCGGCTCTTATGTATCGCAGTCAAAATGTACCTTAACATTGATGGTTCTGGACACTCCCCCAACCTATACGTTGTTGGAAAGCTGATAAGTGGGCCAACAAGCTGGGGAAAAGCAAGTCTGGAGACACAATGTTTCAGGAGAAAATTCCAGATGTATTACATGATGCCGATTTTTTGTGTGCAGTAAATCCCTTAGCAAGGCCTGTCAGCGCCAACACGAACCGCCTCTCTGTATCAGAGTCAAAATGTGCCTTAACGTGGATGGTTCTGGACAACCTATATGTTGTTGGAAAGCTTATGAGGGGCACAATAACCTGGGAAAATAATAATAATAATAATAATTTATTCA